GTGCTGGGGCAATGCTTCCGCCCCAAGAGACAACCTGTCTACCGAGCTGGTTCCTCAGCCCGCAGCACCGTAACCCCCCAGCCGATTTTAAACTCCAGCCGTGCCCGGCAGTGCTCAGGGCAGGGAGCTTGCTGATTGGCCCCAGGCTGTCAGTCAGTGTGACAAGTTCATCAGACTAGCCCAGGCGTTCACCAGGGTGGCAGGCTCCTCTTCAGAGAGCCGGCCCTGGCACCGTTGGGAGAAGGCGGTCCGTACCCGCTGATGATTGCGACAGCTCGTTAGCAAAGTTTTGCTCAGAAACAAGTGTTCCACGGGAAGGCAATTTTCTAGGCAATTAAAAAAAAGAAAAATCCCAGCTTCATGTAATTAAGAGGAAAACAAACTGGCTAAATATGAGAACATCAAACACACCTGGGTTAGTCCTTGTCCTTTTCTTTTCTTCCTTAATGATTTGGGGGATTTAGAAAAAAAAAAACATTAGTAAGGAGTCTCTGTTGGTTTACAAATCTCACTCAGAGGCTTGAGACAGGATGTCGACCAGTGGTAGAGCATTTGTCCAGCTCAACAGACCTGACTCAGCACCCCAAGCAAACAAAGTACAATAGCGAATGCCTGTCGTTCCACCTAGTGGGGAGGCTGAGGCAGGGGAATTACTTGAGCCCAGAAACTGGCGACAGTCCTTAGGCAAATAAGCTTTCATCCAGCAGGTCTTCTGTAGATCTTCCAGCTGAATAAGCTCTGGAAGATCTGTGTTGATGTTAAGGAGATCCTGGATTTTAGGTAGTTTTTGTTTTTCAGAACAAAACAAAGATACCACCAGATGGTGGTAGCACACACCTTTAATCCCAGCAGGCAGAGGCAGGTTGATCTCTGTGAGTTCGAGGCCAGGTTGGCCTACAGAATGAGTTCCGGGACAGTCAGGGCTACACACAGAAACCCTGCCTTGAAAAAAAAAAATGCAAAAAGTAAAGAAAATAAAGATCTTAATGAAGACTCTCCAGCTCTTCATATTGACGCTGTGGTGAAGTCTTTTGTCGTGGGCAGTGGTCGAGTCCAAACTGCTGAGTTCTGCTCAAGGCCTGGATCCTTTCAACGGCGTGGGCTCTCAGTCAGAACAGAGGACCACGGGTGGGGTGGTCCCTGATGACACGGTCTCCGGGCTTTGGTGCATGGCTCTGTTTGCCACCAGGCACTCACTAACTGCAGGGATTTGCGGGTGGCTGTCTTTTAGCTGGCGCTGGCCCTCTTCCCCGGCGCTGGACCTGGCCAGCAGTAATTAAATAGCATTTCAGCCCGACAGCTGTTCGGTTTCTCGGCGCGCTAAGTCACTTAAGTATTACCTGGTAGCAACTGTTGCCTAATGTGTAGACACAGATCTTAAAAGGACAAAAGAAAGAAGATAAAGAGGAAGTGGGCCCAACCCGTCACCAGTTGAACAGCTCCGAATGACACCACGGAGGGCCGTGGACCGGCTTCTCGCCTTCGCTGAACGAGCTGGCATTGCTTCCAGGCCCCCCATCTGCAGTGATGACATTTCTTTCTCATGGGTGCAAATACTTGTAGGCACCTTCAGTTCCATGCCTCCTCTCCGGGGTTCCTTAGGAGGGGCAGTGACTGCGCGTCAGGAGCCAGTCCAGTGGGAAAGGACGCCAGAAGTTATCGCACCTCTTACTCCCTGCAGAGTGCAGGAAGAAACTTTTCCCCTTCGGATCTAGGAGGTGGATGGGTTAATACCAGAGTCGGTCAGGAAAGGGAAGGAGAAGGGAGAGTGTATGTATGTGTGTGTGTGTCTATTTGTTTTAAGAAATAAGTGTACAGTTCTGCTAAGGTCATTAGAATAGAGCAATGTGTGCTGGGATGTCCCTTAACACATGAGATTAAGAAGTCATGTTTGAGGCTCCCGTGACAGCTCACACCTCTGGCCCCAGTCCTCAGGATGCCGAGGCAGGACAGTTGCGAGTTCCTGGCCAGTCTCTGATATTGTGTAGGACCCCGTCTCAAAGGGAAGAAGAGGAAGAAGAAAAAAAAATAAAAGCCCCACAAAGCAAACGTAGCATGTAGAGGCTGCGTGTGTACAGGCTCCTGTGCATGTATGTCTACAGATTGTGTAATTTTTTTCCCCTAGGGACTCAATAGATCTTGATAATCCACAGGAGAACATTAAGGCCACCCAGCTCTTGGAGGGCCTGGTGCAGGAGCTGCAGAAGAAGGCGGAGCACCAGGTCGGGGAGGATGGGTTTCTGCTGAAGATCAAGCTGGGGCACTATGCCACACAGCTCCAGGTGGGTGCGAACGCCGGCCACACTCAGGCCCTGTCCCTTTGAGGGCGTCCTCACGTAACCTCCCGTAGACACGTGCGTCCTGATCTTCGGCCCAGCACCGTGGACTCATGTGCTCCACGCACATGGTTCTGATTGGCTCTGTGGTTGTGGTTGTTACCGTCTTTGAGAGAAGAGTCTCACTGTGGGGCTGGGGAGTTGGTTCTGTGGTTAAGGGCGCTTCCTGCTTGTCTTGGGGTAATTATTGCTGTGATGAAACACTATGGCCAAAAGTGAACTGAGGAGGAAAGGGTTTGTTTGGCTTAGGCTTCCACATCGCTGTTGTCATGGGAGGAAGTCAGGACAGGGATCCAAGCGTGGCCCGGAGGCAGGAGCTGATGCAGAGGCCAGGGAGGGGTGCTGCTTACTGGCTTGCTCCCCGTGGCTGGCCCAGCCTGCTTTCCTGTAGCTCCCAGAACCACAGCCTGGGGTAGCCCGACCCACAATGGTCCCCCCCCCACACACACACACATCAATCACTAACTAAGAAAGTGCCCTACAGGCTTGCCTACAACCCAATCCTCCGGAGACCTTTTCTCAGTTGAGGCTCCCTCCCCTGATGACCCTAGCCTGTGTCAGTTGACACAAAACCAGCCCTCACATTGCTCTTCTGAGTCCAGCTCCCAGGACCCACATCAGGAGACTCACAGTGACCTTGGTTGCTTGGCTACCCTCTTCTGACCTCTTCAGGCGCCCACCCACATGTGGCATACAGACACACAGACATAACTAGAAATAGAAAATAAAACATATTTTTAAAAAGAAATAAAAAGCTTCCCTATTTAGTTCAGGTTGGCCACAAACCAGAAATCCTCCTGCATCAGCTCCACTCCAACCCCAGGGTGGGTTATAGGTGTGCACCACTCTACCACTTCTGCTCCCTCTTTTAACTTTTTACTCCAAAACAAATATGAATTTGCAGGAAGTTGCAGCCGTAGTACAATGAGGCCCCTATTTACGCTCACACTCATCTGTTGCCATCATTTACTTTACTTTATCATCTCTCACACGTTTCTCTCCTCCTTTCCCTACACACACACACACACACACACACACACACACACTTTTTAGTTGAGAGTGAGTTGTATGCCTTATGTCCCGCCCCTGAGTGTCTCAGCATGTATGTTCTAAGAACACGAAACTTCCCTTACATGGTCATAATGCAATTATCGAGTTCACGGTACTTAGCATTCTGTCTCTAAATCCATTTGTCAACTGACTCAGAGGTGTTTTACACTCCCCAGTTCAGGGTCCAATGCAAGCTCACACATCATACCTAGCTGTCACATCACTTTAATGTTTTAGTTGGTTTGGTTTCAATTGTGTGACTTGTTTGTTTCTGAGATAGGGCCTCCCACTGTAGGCCGTGCTAATCTTGAACTTTAAGCAACCCTCTTGTCCCAGCCATCCTGTCCCCTTTTTACTGTTCTTTAACCTAAAAAACATTTTTGCAACCTTGTTTTGGCTTTGATATTAGCATTTAAAAAAATAATTGCTTATTTCCTTACTTTTAATATTTTTATGTTTTATTTTTAAATTTGTGCATGCGTGTGCGAGCACACACACACACACACACATACATCCAGAAGGGAGCATCATATCACCTGGAGCTGGAGTTACAGGAAGCTGTGAGCCTCCTGACACCGGTGCTGGGAATTGAACTCTGGTCTATAAGCACAGTATGAGGTAGGGTCTCACCATTTTGTCTAAGCTGGTCTCAAACACTAAATAAACTTGAATGCTCTGTCCTTCTGGGATGCCCCATCCAGAAAGAGAGAACGCCCATTTCCCCCCAACTGCGAAAGTAATTCTGATTATAACTACGGGAAATGTCCGCGTCCTGTCTCTTGTCTGCTGTGGCCTTTTAAGAACTTAGCTGTTTCCAAGAATGCTGCCGTAGTGCTTTCAGCATTAAGATTCAGAAAATAGAGCAGCCTTCCCTTTTTACTGTAATTGCATTTCCCATGATGTCTTTCTCTCATTCCTGCCCGTATGGGAGGAACCGCACTGCCCACAACTCCACAGTTACGGCACCTCCGTCATGAGCCTCCCGGTTGACCCACAGCGCAGACTGGAACAAAGTGATGTCTGCTGTTGTCCTCTTTCAGAACACCTACGACCGCTGCCCCATGGAGCTGGTCCGCTGCATCCGGCACATTCTGTACAACGAGCAGAGGCTGGTCCGGGAAGCCAACAACGTGAGTGTCTGCGGGTGTGGGAGGGGGATGCCAGGAGCCCTTGTTGATCCGTTTCCCCCAGAACCGCACTTTGTTGAGGTGACCTGATATGCCCTAGTGTCTCTTTAGGGAGCTGTTCTTAGATTGATGACTCCAGTGTGACTACAGCCACAAAGCGAGGTGAAGCTGTGCAGATAACCCCGAGCAAATCGCCTTTGCGTGGAAGCATGCTCGAAGTCAGTTAGGAGAAACGTCCGCACACACTCTGGGCCAGCCAATGAAGGACCGAGTCAAACCTAGTCCCTAATCACCCAGATCCACAGAGGCCTTGCGTGCGCCTCCCCCATAACTTGTTCTGAGGGGCCTCTGGGATGTGCGGCTTTATCCCTAGTGGAAGCAAATGACTCCATCACCAGAATGTCTTGAGATAGATACAGACCATGTACTCCCAACATGTCCCCTAGGTAACTACAGTCATGGCATTGGGTCCATGAATGAATATGAAATCAGAGGACATAGTCGTCAGTAGGAAGACCCTAGTGACCTCTGGGGCACGTGGAGTTTGAGTTTCTTAAGGAATTGGGCGCATTCTCTGTGAGATACCCTGGTGGAGGCCAGAGCTGAAACAGAAGTTTTTACCATGAAGGTGTCCTGTCAGGTCACCTGTCTCCCCATACTTTCCATTCTCCACCTATCCTCACGTGTGATATTTGCGATTTCTTCTGTTTTGAATCTGAATTGTTGGGGGTTTTGGCTTCACCTAAGGATTAAGACCCAAGGCGTCCTCCCACCCTCACACCCTGGATCTCCTTACCTGTCCCCCAGGGGAGCTCTCCAGCTGGAAGCCTGGCTGATGCCATGTCCCAGAAGCACCTTCAGATCAACCAGACATTCGAGGAGCTGCGCCTGATCACGCAGGACACGGAGAACCAGCTGAAGAAGCTGCAGCAGACCCAAGAGTACTTCATCATCCAGTACCAGGAGAGCCTGCGGCTCCAAGGTGAGCCTGGCGGTGGGATCCGGGCACTCTGGGGGTGGGAGCGAGGTCTAGGAACAAGCGTTGAGGAAGCAGAAGTGAACCTGGTTCCGTTCTGAGCCCTGCCTCTGTGTGAGTGGGGTGTAACCATTCGCGCTGAAGAAGGAGCTGGAAGGATGGGGCTTGGGGAGAGCCATGGTACCCGGTGGGGAGAGTGTGGCGTCTCACTCAGGCTTCCTGTGCTCAGGAAGTTTGGGGTGGCTGTAGAAGATGTTTCCTTTTAAGAAGGCATTCGTGGGCTGGAGAGATGGCTCAGCAGTGAAGAACACTGGCTGTTCCTCCAGAGGCCCTGAGTTCAATTCCCAGCACCCGCCTAGCAGCTTACAACCACCTATAACTGTAGTCCTGTGGGAGGCAATGTCCTCTTATAATGTGCATACATACAGACAAAATACCCATATACATAAATGAATAAATCTTCACCGGGCATGGTGGCACATGCCTTTAATTCCAGCATTTGGGAGGCAGAGGCAGGTGAGTCTGTGAGTTCAAGGCCAGCTTGGCCTACAAGGACAGTTCTGGGACAGCCAGAGCTATTACACAGAGAAACCCTGTCTCAAAAAAACAGACAACAACAACAAAAGCATTCATAGTTCAATAAAAGCTTATAAAAGGGATAATACAGTTTATAGAGGAAGCACTTTTAAGAGTGAACATTTTATTTCTTTGCTTGTTTGTTTGTTTATTTGTTTTAGACAGGGTATCTCAGTGTAATCCTGGCTGTCCTGGAACTCACTCTGTAGACCAGGCTGGCCTCGAACTCAAGACATCCACCTGCCTCTGTCTCCCAAGTGCTGGAATCAAAGGTGTGCCCCACCATCACCCAGCCTAGAGTAAGTATTTTATAAATGCAGCCTTGCTGAAGTGATAAATAGGAAGTGCATCACATGTTGGGGTTCGGGGTGTAGGTCAGTGGTGGATTGCTTCCCTAGCATGTGTGAGCCCTGGCTTTTGTCCCCAGCACTGAAGGAACGCCGTCTGTGGTGCCCAACATTTAGTGTTCCATGCAGTTGTTCAGAAGGACTTTCCGATGACCATGAATGCCCTGTGGACAACATTCCCTAGCCTTTGTCCTGAGGCACACAGAAACTGAGAATCCTTCTAAGAATTGGGGCGCCTCGCCAGAGCTCCCTCCTGACCCTAGAGGGAGCATTAACACTTTATTCTCCATGCCTGTCTGTATGTCTCCTACTCTCAGAGGGGGCTGGGGCCATGGCTCCGGTGATTAAGAGCTAAGAGCACTGTCTGCTCTTTCATAGGACTTGGGTTTGAGTTCCAGAACCCACTGGGTGGCTCAAGACCATCTGTAACTCCACTTCCAAGTAACCCAATACCTTCTTCTGACCTCTGTGGGCACCAGGCATGCGCGTGGTACACAGGCACGCATGTATGCAAAAACACCTATGCAAATAAAATAAAATAAATCTAAAAAACAATTAAAAAGAAACAAGACCTCAGGAGACTTTTGTCCCACACTCCCAGGCACGTAGCCTGTGTCGTCTAAGGTCATGATTGTAGAACTCATTGCTATGTTGACATTATTTACTGCCTTCCCAGGCATCCCAGCTTATAAATCACTGAAAAGAACCTTGCCTTTTAGTCCGGTACCCTAAGGCCAGCATAAATTATACTTGTGGGCTTATCCTGGCTGTCTTAATGTTTCCTTTGTCTGTCCCAGCTTGCGTGTCCCTGGGGCAAGGATAGGGTCAGTGTGACATGGTTCTCAGGGGCCAGCCATGGACTTAAACGAGACATGCCAATGTGCACAAATTCCTGGCAAGACCTGAGTAAGGATGCTGCTTCCCAAGCGTCACCGGAGGCAACAGTGATGCCAGCACTCAGGGTCCTTTCCTTCGTGTGGAGTAGGGAACAAGGAGAGGTTGCAAGCAGCGGTGATGGGCAGAGAGTTCAGCCCTGGACATGCTTGGTTGAGCAGAGCTGCTGAGGACATGGACTCTTTACATGGCCCTGTACGCTGCTTGTGTCTCAGGATTTGTCCATATGTGTAGAAAGGTACCAAAAGAAAGCTGAGGATGGTAGCTCAGTTGGGAGAGTGCTTGCTTAGCATGTACCAAGTTCTGGGTTTGAGCCCCAACCTGCACAAAGAGAGGTCTGGGAGCATTAGTCCCCGAGCAGCCCACTGAGCTGGCATCAGGATTCTCCCCTTATAAATGGGAAACTGAGGCACAGGAAAGAAAGGGGTTTGCCCGTGTTCACCCCGCTGGTAAACCACAGGGCCACTTGTACACAGGGTCTGACATCAAACCTGATGCCCTCTGGGGAAGGCAGATGTCCTCTGTGTGCTGGGCAGAGGCAGATGCCCTCTGTGTGCTGGGCAGAGAGGCAAGAACTGCCAAGGAATTGCTTTCTCATTAAGTGACCGCTCCCAGCCCAGGACAGACTAGGTCAGGAGAACCCTAAAGGGAGACTAGAGACCACCTTCTGGGGGAGCCCCTTCCTCACAGGACGCCATGACTAACTGAAACCCTGACTCAGGTGGACGGGATGTCTGGCCCTGAGAATGGGAGACCCTCCAGACTTCCCGCTGGACATAAGAAATGATGGTGGTGGGTGTCTGTCCCCTCCTCCAGCTCAGTTCGCCCAGCTGGCTCAGCTGAACCCCCAGGAGCGCATGAGCCGGGAGACGGCCCTCCAGCAGAAGCAAGTGTCCCTGGAGACCTGGCTGCAGCGAGAGGCGCAGACGCTGCAGCAGTACCGCGTGGTTAGTGGGTCCCGCGTCCCTCTGCCCGGGAGGGGGCTCTGTCACCTGAGACCCGGGGCACCAGGTGGGGGCAGAGCCAAGGTGAGAGCATGTGAGGTGCAGCAGGTGTGAGAGGGCGGGGCCGGGCCCCGGGTTCTAGGCCGGGCCCTGTGGGATACTTCCCTGAGGCCAGAAGGCTGCTGTGCCCTCCCTTGTGCAGGAGCTGGCTGAGAAGCACCAGAAGACCCTGCAGCTGCTGCGGAAGCAGCAGACCATCATCCTGGACGACGAGTTGATCCAGTGGAAGCGGCGGCAGCAGCTGGCCGGGAACGGGGGTCCCCCCGAGGGCAGCCTGGATGTGCTGCAGTCCTGGTGAGGGTGAGAGGTGGGCAGGGTGGGCAGGGGCTCGGGCGATGATGCCAGCGGCCTCTTCTGTACCTCAGTTGGCAGCTCTCGCTATAGCAGTGTCTTGGCTCCTGCTGGGACGTGGCTCTCCCAGGGGGTAGTGGTGCCTTGGAATGGGCAGGGCTACTCTTGAGCTGGTTGGTTCCAAGTTGAGGCCACCCTGCTTGTCCTCTGCAGGGTACCGGTGGCTAAGGCCAGCATCTTGTGTGTGTGTGTGGGGGGGGTACTTTGTAAGGAGGAAGGAACAGTGTCATGTGGCCTCCTCCCCTGGCCTGGGCTGGAGCAGGAGCCACTGTCCCTCTGAGGGCCCTGGGCTCCTTGCAGGTGTGAGAAGCTGGCCGAGATCATCTGGCAGAACCGGCAGCAGATCCGCAGAGCCGAGCACCTCTGCCAGCAGCTGCCCATCCCAGGCCCCGTGGAGGAGATGCTGGCCGAGGTCAACGCCACCATCACAGACATCATCTCAGCCCTGGTCACCAGGTGACTGCTGCCTCCTGGCCATGCTCAGAGGGGCATGGCAGTTCCTGGGGGGTGGGCATGTGAGGCCCAGGAGCTGTCCAAACTGAGCTCTCTGCCCTCTGCCCTCCGCACCCACTGTGGCTCCAGTAGCTCTGCTGCTGTGGCTGTTCTGGCCGCATGTGTTGGGGACACTGCAGGAAGGACCGTGGTACCCAGCCTCTCTCCAACCCCCCAAGTCCTTCCAGGGAACAGAGGCCAGGCCCCCTCCTCTGCCTGTCTCCCCCGCTCCCAGGCCCCACAGGAAGATCCCCCCTCCTCGCTGGGCCGCCAGCTCTCTCCCCTGAGCCAGCCTCTGGCCAACTGTCTGGCCCCTGTGTTCCCTGCAGCACCTTCATCATCGAGAAGCAGCCTCCTCAGGTCCTGAAGACCCAGACCAAGTTTGCAGCCACCGTGCGCCTGCTGGTGGGGGGGAAGCTGAATGTGCACATGAACCCCCCGCAGGTGAAGGCCACCATCATCAGTGAGCAGCAGGCCAAGTCCCTGCTCAAGAACGAGAACACCCGCAAGTGAGTGTGACTCAGTATGCCCTCCTTGCCACTCTCCTTGGTCACTGAGAGGAAAGATAAAAATTCTTCCTTAATCAGCTGGGTGGCGGCACGTGCCTTTAATCCCAGCACTCGGGAGGCAGAGGCAGGAGGATCTTTGATTTCATGGCCAGCCTGGGCTACAGAGTGAGTTCCAGGACAGCCAGGCCTACACAGGAAAACCCTATCTCAGGGAAAAAAAAAAAAAAAAGTGACTTCTGTGCCTTGTGGCAGAAGCAGCTGTTCCCAGCAGCCCTCTTTGTTTCCTGGCTCCAGCTTTTGCCCTCTGTCCCCACGTGGGCCTGCAGCTCGTTTTCTGTCTGCCTTGCAGTGATTACAGCGGCGAGATCCTGAACAACTGCTGCGTCATGGAGTATCACCAAGCCACGGGCACCCTCAGCGCCCACTTCAGAAACATGGTGAGGGTCTGGGAGAGGCAGCGCGCTCCCGCCCTCAGGGTCGCCAGCCTCTTCATCTCCCGCTTCTCCCTTGCAGTCCCTGAAACGGATCAAGAGGTCTGACCGCCGAGGCGCAGAGTCGGTGACGGAGGAAAAGTTCACCATCCTGTTCGACTCACAGTTCAGTGTCGGTGGGAACGAGCTGGTCTTTCAAGTCAAGGTGAAGTCAGCGTGTGTGCACGTTCGTGTGTGTGTGTGCACGTTCGTGTGTGTGTGTGCGTGCGCGCGTGTACATGGTGTGTGCCGTATGCATACGATATATGCAGTGAGTGCGCACTGCATGCGTGCACGTATACCATATATGTGTGGCATGTATGTGCAACGTGGGTGTAAAACCCATGTAGTGTGTGGGCGTACATTTGCAGTCTGTGTGCAGTGTTTGTGTACAGCCTGCGCACAGCGTGTGCGCGTCGTACGTACGCACTGTTGGCAGCACGCGGGCGTACCGCCAGAGTGGCTGCACGGTGTGCGTGTTCCGTGCGTGCCAGATGCGTTTGCGTGGTGTGCAGCGTGTGCATGGCGTGCACGCGCAGCACGCGTGTGTGGAGCGTACACGCGACGCGTAACGCCTGTTTGTTTGTACGTCTTTGCAGGCTGGTTGTTTGTTTGTTTGTTTGTTTGTTTGCCAAAAGAATTGTGACCACATAGTATCTTCTTTTTCAGTGTTGACAAGTGGGAAATGGAGAGACCTTTATTACTTAGAGCTATTATATTTTTTTTCCCAGTTCTTTCTGGGTGCGAACAATAACAAACTGAAACAGCTAGAAAGACGCCTGAGAACCACTCAGTGTGAACTCAAAATAAGATTGGAGCTGGAGTTTCTGTGGTTGTGTGGCTTTATGTTTGCTTATTTAGTGGACTGTGGTTTTTGTTTGTTGGGTTTTTTGAAATATGGCCTTGGGGCTGGAGAGATGGCTCAGAGGTTAAGAGCACTTGGCTGCTCTTCCAGAGGTCCTGAGTTCAATTCCCAGCACCCACATGGTGGCTCGCAACCATCTATAGTGAGATCTGGTGCCCTCTTCTGGGGCACAGGCACACATGCAGGCAGAATGCTGTATAAATAATAAGTTTAAATAAATAAATAAATAAATAAGTGAGGTCTTGCTATGTGGCTCAGGCTAGCCTAAAACTCACCCTGTAGCCCAGGCTAGCCTTGAGCTTGATGTCCTCCCTCAGCGTTCAGTGCTGGGGTTACAGGTATGTAATAGTTTAATAGGCATTTCTTCCTGTAGCCTTTTCTAAAAGCGTCTCCTCACCCTTTCTCTTTTTTTTTTTTTTTTTTCTCTTATTCTTCATGTGAGAAAGTTGTTTCATCTCTCGGAATGGCTAAGCAGCTTCACCTATAAAATATCTACAACCTTAGTCGGATCGTGTGGCATATGCTCATAATCCTAGCCGCCAGGAGGGCTGAGGCAGGAATCAAGTTTGAAATCAAGCTGGGCCAGGTTGGCACATGCCTTTAATCCCAGCACTTAGGAGGCAGGTGTAGGAGTAGCTCTGTGAGTTCAAGGCCAGCCTGGACTACAGAGTAAGTTCCAGGACAGCCAAGGCTACACAGAGAAACCCTGTCTCAAAAAGAAAAAAACAAAAACAAAAACAAACAAAAAAATGAGTTTGAAATGAAAGCTGAGCATGGCAGCAGTATATGCATGATTGTGATCCCAGCACTTGAAGAATCAGAAGTAAAGGCAGAAGTTCAAGGCCAGCCTCGGCTTCATTTAGTGTATGCTACATGAACTTTTCTCTCAAGGAATGAAAAGATTGAGCTGAAGTCAACCTGGGCTACATAATGATTTGAAGGTTAGCCTAGGATACAAAGATTAGTTAGTTAGGGAGCTAGAGAGTTAGAGAGATTAAATAACTTAATCTAAATAACTTAATTAAATAACTTAATCTAAATAAGCTTAAATAACTCAGCCTTTTAAGCTTCTGCCCCAGCTGTTCTCAGCCCCAGTTCTTGGAGCATACCACTGAAACCTGAGGGGAAACAGGCAGAAGGGGAGGAAAGCAGTGCTCAATCCTTCTCTGTGTTTTAGACCTTGTCGCTCCCGGTGGTGGTGATTGTTCATGGCAGCCAGGACAACAATGCGACAGCCACCGTCCTCTGGGACAACGCCTTTGCGGAGCCTGTGAGTGGATTCCTTGGTCTGGGGTCTTCAGATCTCAAGACTGGTGTCATGAATTTCTCCTGTGTGTGCTCGTATGCTCTCCTCTCTCTCTCTCTCTCTCTTTCTGTGTGTGTGTGTCTATGTGTCTATCTGTGTGTGGGGGGGGGTCTGTGTGCCATTTTTCTTGGGAGGCAGAATAGATCATATGAAAGAAGAAGGGCTTGGCATCCAGACAGAGTTGTCAGGCTCTGTTGACTCATGGTCCCTCGGTGACCATGGAAGTTCATTTGGCCTAGAGAGGCTGAGAGGAGCTTTGATTTCCAGCCGGTACCTGCAGCCCAGGTAAAATGGTGTTCTATCATAACCTAAGCTCGGTAACATGGAAGGTGCTCAGTAAATCCTGGAACCGCAGGGAAGCCCTAGATGGTTTGGGGACCCTTAGGCCCTTCCTAGAGTTTCCTGTAGCTGAGAGCTTGCCTCAGTCATTTGCCAGTAAATAAGGATGGCGTTCAGTGCTCTTCCCAGGTCTCAGATTCTGTGATTCATCCCCGGTCTCATGAAGAATGATGTGCTTTGTCTGAAGAAACAGATAATCATGTTGTGGATTTAAACCCCCCTCCCCCCCCAAAAAAAGCAAAATTACACTATCATGCTAGCAAGAATTGTACTCTTCCTCTCTCTCTTTCTCTCTGCCACCCTTCCCCACCCCTCTTTATTTCTTTCTTGAGACAGGGTCTCATGTAGTATCCCAGGCTACTGTTGAACTCAGTATTCAGCCAAGAACCCCTTACCTTCTTGCTTCCTTCCCCTGATGAGTGCTGGGATTGCAAGCATTCACCAACTATACCCATTTTTCACGGTGTACTGGGACTAGAACCCAGAGCTTTGTGCATGCTAGGTGAGCACTCTACCAACTGAGCTATAATCCCCCAGCCCATGGTGAACATTTTCAAAACATTTCCGTGAGGCGAGATCTGTATGGCATATTTCCAGTAGACCTTAAGTCATGGAAGGATGATAAAAAGGGCCGTTGGTGTTCGGCACATCAAAGTTTGTCTTTCTCTAGTGTGTAATGTGAGATATTCTTGACTCTACCATCTTTAGAGGACCAGACTTTATTGCAAAGGCAGGGTTTTTAAGAGATCTTCCCTGTGTGTGCTGTAAACCCGGAGGTTAGACTCCTGAAGGAGGCCGCTGCACACTGCCTTCATAAACCTTCTGGGTGAGATTGCTTCATCTCTGTCCCTGCCATTCACAAAGCTCTCCGTGACCTTGACATGCCCTGTAGTGTGTAATCCGTAGAGTATCTTGTCCAAATAATATGAATTTTCACATTTTCGGTTATGCTAATGACTAGGGTATCTTGAATGCTCTTTAAAAATAAATGCAGGAAGTTTGACATGGTGTTATGCCTTTAATCTCAGTACTTGGAAGGCAGAGACCAGCCTGGTCTACATAATGAGTCCCAGGCCATTTGGGGTTACATGATGAGGCATAGATAGATAGATAGATAGATAGATAGATAGATAGATAGATAGATAGATAGATGGATTTGGGGAATGGCTCATATTTCATAGAGCTCATGTAAAAAACTAGTGTAGCTGCTCTTGACTGTAATCCTAGCTCTGGGAGGCAGAGCCATGGGGATCTGGATGGCTTGCTGGCCAGATAGTCTCACCATATCACTGAGCTCCAGATACAGTGAAAGAAGCAAGGAAGACACTGTATGTCAACCTCTGGCCTCTACATAAACGTACATGAACTCACAGGAACACCTACACACGATACAACACGTATGTTCTATTGATATTTTATTCTGCACAAATATTCTGTATATGCTATATAACAAGTACATTATGGCCTTGTTTGTCATAGCTAAAGACTGGAGGCTGGCACACAGTTGCCCATCTGTGGGGCTTGGCAAGTATCTGTCTTCCCTGTTGCAGAATATTCCACAACCATAGAAGAAAGTGAACAGTTTGCCAAGCAGTGGTATATCCCTCTACTCCCAGAACCTAGGAGGCTCAGACAGGAGGAGAGTGAGTTCCAGGCCAGCCTGGGATACATAGCAAGACCCTCTCCTCAAAAAGGAGGAGAAGGAAGAAAAGAATCTCTTATTATTATTTAATTGCCACATTAAATTGTACATATTTTTGGTATATACTATTACGTTTTGATTTATACATACATTGTGTGATAATCAGATCAGGGTAATTAGCATATCCAGCTCCTGAACATATTATTTTCTTGTGTAAGAAGGTTGAGAGACTGGAGGGATGGCTGACAGGTTAAGAGTGATTACTGCTCTTGCAGAAGACCAGAGTTCAGCTTCCAGTACCCAAGTCAGGTAGCTCACAACCACCTTTAAGTCCAGGTCAAGGCTCTGACCTCCGTCTTCTGACCTCCATGGTCAGCTACACACACACATGAACATACACACACACAACTAAAAATAAGTATCTTTTTAAAAAGAAAGAAAAGTCAGGCAGTGGTGGCACACACCTTTAATCCCAGCTCTTGAGTAGCAGAGGCAGACAGATCTCTGTGAGTTTCACCTTGGTCTACAAAATGAGTTCCAGGACAACCAGGGCTACACAGAGAAACCTTGTCTGGAGAAAAAAAGAGAAAGAGAGTTAGAGGGTGGGGTAGAGAGGAAAGGGAGAGAGAGAAAGAGAGAGAGAAGAAAATAACAGAACATCAACAGTCCCCTGATCAGGCATGGTGACTTACTCCTATAATCCTAGCATTTGGGAATTAGACTCAGAAGGATCAGAAGTTCAAGGTTGTCCTTGGCTACATATTAATATCAAGTTTAAAGCCAGATTGGGCTGCATGAGACCCTGTCTCAAACAAACAAAAAAGGGGATTGGGAGATGGCTTAGCAAAGTACTTGCAATGCAAGTATGGAGACCTGAGTTTTCATATTTTATTTTATATGTACGAGTGTTTTTACCTGCATGTATATATGTGTACCATGTTGTGCCTGTTGCCCATGGAGGCTAGAAGAGGGCATCAGATCCCCTGGCACTGGAGTTACGGATGATTGTGAGTGCCCTGTGGGTGCTGGGACTCAAAGCCAGGTCCTCTGCAAGAGCAGCCAGTGCTCTTAACCACTTGAGCTATCTCCTCAGCCCCAGCAATAAATTAAAAAATAAAAAGTAGAAAGCTCATGAGGAATGGAACCTGAGGTTGAACTCTGGCCTCTACATACATGCACATACGTGCACCACCCCCACATGCCCCACAGAAAAGGGAGGAGGAAGGAAGAAAGTAGAAAGGGAGGGAGGGAGGGAGAGAAAGAGAGAGAAGCCCTTCTGGCTATTTGGAAACATGCAAGGACAGTCAGTGTACTGTGCGATACAAGCACCAGACCACATCCCTCTGGCCAGTTTGCACGTTTGTACTCATTGACCAGCTAGCCGAATAGAATGAGAAGCAATTTATTAAAAGTTCATATTCTAACTATTTCTCGACAAAGTTGCCAACTAGAAATTTTCCACTCTTTCATGCCAAGTTGCTTCACTTTGAGCTAGAGTTCTTGGCAGGTGTCAAGGGCAGGCATTACACTCGGGGCTGTCCCTGTGGGTGCCCGTTCTCTCTCTGCTCACTCAGAAAGCCGAGCTTGTCTTTCTAAGGTTTTTTTTTTTTTTTTTTTTTTTTTTTTTTAAATAGGGTCTCTTGTAGCCCAGGATGACCTCAAATGCTGTGTGGCAGAAAATGACCTTGAACTCCTGATGCTCCCTTCTTCCCTCCCTCTCTCCCTCCCGGGTGCTAAGATCACAGGCATGTGCCACCACACCTGGCAATGTTCTCACTGTCTAAACTCCCAGTGAACCTAGACCATGAGCCAACACTTGGCGATACTTTGTTCTGACGATATTTATTAGACCCTGAGTCTGACTGCAGGGCCAGCAGCTCCCAAGCCAGCGCACTTAGCACGGGGTGGTCCTCTAGCTGTGTGGTGTAGGAGGACAGCCTAGCAGAACCTTGTATGTCTCTCAAAACTGGACACCCCGCGAATGTCTGAAAATCCTCAGGTTTGGCAAGACAAGTCTCCCTAACCCCTTCCAGTCACTGCTGCTCTTCTGCTGCGGCTTCAGAGCATCAGTCATGCAACCGTTCTCTGATACGCCGGCGTCTCTCCGTCTCAGGGCAGGGTGCCGTTTGCCGTGCCTGATAAGGTGCTGTGGCCGCAGCTGTGTGAGGCGCTCAACATGAAGTTCAAGGCCGAAGTGCAGAGCAACCGGGGCCTGACCAAGGAGAACCTGGTGTTCCTGGCCCAGAAGCTGTTCAACAGCAGCAACAGCCACCTTGAGGACTACAGCAGCATGTCCGTGTCCTGGTCCCAGTTCAACCGGGTGAGTGGCCGGCCCCCTGCTACCCTGACTCTAACCTTTCCAACTGCTTGAGTGCCAGCGTTTCCCTGTGGAGGGCCCCTGTTCTTCGTATTTCTCATAAACTACCCAAAGCCACCGAAACACCTTGAGAGTTAGTCGGGTCTCAATGTAGAGTGACACCTTTTCGTAGGGTCAGCGAGCTGGGCCTGATGGGCACTCATTGCATTTCTTCCTTCACAAAGGAATCAGTGAAGCAAACATAAGCCAAGCTCCAGCTTTGTCCCACCAGCTCTGGTGTAGAATGCTTCTTGGGGACCCTAAGCCCCTTAGAAGGGGATTCGGACAAAGGGCACATTTCCTCTGACATCTGGCAAATCTGTGATTGCATTCTCCCTGCTGTGTCAGCACCCCAGAGTTTTAGGTGCCCTCAATCCAGAGAGCCACTGGCTTCTGGGTCGTCTGAGTGTGCTCACAGTTGCTGGGAGTCAGAGGAGGTCGGGGAAACAGGACTCAGCGGTCTATCTTTGCCATTGTGGTAAAGCCCCTGCCTCCCACAAAACCTGGTTACTGTACTTGGCTGATAATTACTAGGAATGTGTGTGTGACGTCAGCCTCTCTTTGGCTTAGTGTGATCTAATTCAGGTCAGATCTACAAACTCACCCTGCATCTTGATAAAGTGTAGGCTGTGATTCATGGCAGGTCCAAAGTGGACCTGGAAAAAAAAAAAAAAAGTGCATTTCTCAGAATCTCCCAGGGGATACTGATGCTGCTTGTCAAAGGCCACACACGTCAGAAATAGCCAGAGGTGAGTCCACCAAATCTGGAGGTGTAGCTGGAGGTGTAGCAGGGTCCCCTGGGGATTGGTACCAGCTCTGTAGCTTTTGCCCCTCACTCCTCCCTTCTCCTCCATGGGGCTGTAAGACTACTTGGTAACAGGCAGATAGGCAGGGACATTTGCATGCTTCTGACAGTGGAGATGTTTGCTTTTCATGTAAAGTGTCTGTAAGCCCCCTGTGCTGTCCATCACGCAAGCGCAAGCCAGGGTTCGAAGCTTTTCACTTTATTCAGAGGGCTGACAATCTGGGAAGTCAGAGCCAAATCTGCCTTTCCCATCCTTTCCTTGTGCGTTTTTATAGAGAACCAGAAAAGGGCAATAAATCAATTTAAAGTTCAGTTTTATTGTCCGGTAGCTGGGTCCCAGGATTCAGTCCCATCCTCCTGGCAGGTGGTCCTTTTGGGCATCTGGGCCTTGTCCCTGAGTTCCTGTTCTCCTCTTGGCCATCTTGTTCTCTGTGACCAGGGATGGGTTCACATACAGCAAGGCCACTGAGTCTTGTGTACCTCCGAGGTGACATCTAGATTTAAAGTTAACTTGGAACAAGCTGACCCTTAGCAGGCTGCATGAGGAGGGACTGTGCACAGAATTCAGTACCACTGTCTGCTAATGGCAGACTGGGAAGTGCCTGTGTCCTACATGCAGCTGATATTCCAGTGGTCACGCTGGCTTTAAAGACAGGGTTTCTCTGTGTAGCCTTGGACTCGATTTGTAGACCAGGCTGGCCTCGATCTAACAGTGATCTCCCTGCCTCTGCCTCCCGCATGCTGGGATTACAAGCATGTGCCGCCACTCCTGGCCTTGTCACTCTGGCTTTCTCACTGTTGTGTCTCCAACCAGGAGAATTTGCCAGGACGGAATTATACTTTCTGGCAGTGGTTTGACGGTGTGATGGAAGTGTTAAAAAAACATCTCAAGCCTCATTGGAATGACGGGTGAGAATCACCTTTATTGTTATTTATTTTCATTATATGTTGCCAAGGCTGGTCTTGAGCTCAAGCAAACCTCCTGCCTCAGCCTCCCAAGCAGCTAAGGCTGCTTAAATCAATACTGGATGACAGAGGGTCTCCTCTCTGTCGTTGTCACCCTCTTTCCCTCTAACTCTAATCCAGGGCCATCCTGGGTTTCGTGAACAAGCAGCAGGCCCATGACCTACTCATTAACAAGCCAGATGGGACCTTCCTGCTGAGATTCAGCGATTCCGAAATCGGAGGCATCACCATTGCTTGGAAGTTTGACTCTCGTGAGTGCCTTGCCCTTCCTTTTCGAGACTCATTTTGGCCTTGAGTCCAAAGTTAGCTGCTTTTGCCACAAAATGATTTTAACACATCTTATTGAGAACATATTGTTTGTGAGGGACAGACCCAATTACAGGAATCCCTAGTCTCGCCATGACACAGCTGCTCGTAAAGCCGACTGTGAGCAATCTCATTATGGGAAATGCTGGATGTGCAGCCTTAGGAGGGGTGCGGGCAGAGTCGCAGCCACTTCCCTTTTGAAAGGTTCGCCTCATTGTTACTCAGCCCGGAGCTCATTTCAGCCATCCATGACTCCACGATTCCCTAATTAATGTAAGGTGTCACCGCTGAGCATTGCCACCCAAGAATGCATGCCCCTTCCTTAGTCTGGCCCTCACGGTGAAGTAGACTGGCTTGCCAGTTTGTGTGTTTTGTGTTTTTGAAGACTCTTCCAGCTTATACTAGCTCTTAGGCTTTCTCTGGCTGTGAGCGTGCTTCTGAGAGAATAAGATTGGGGTCCCTCAGAGCTACTTCTTTTCTTTTTCTCATTTTATTTTATTATTTTGTGTGTGGATGTTTTGCCTACATGTGTGTCTGTGCACCACATGTATGCAGTGCCCAGAGTCCAGAAGAGACAGTAGGATCCCCTAGAACTGGAGTTATGGATGGTTGTGAACCATCTTGTGGGTGCTGGGAATTGAACCCCAGTCCTCTGCAAGAACAACAAGTGCTCTTGGCTGCCTCGCCATCTCTCCAGGCCCAGTGCTATTTCTTTTAGACTCTACTTGAACTTGAGTCCACCGAGATCGCCAGGTCTTTAGGGAAGTCATGTGTGCATCTGCTTATACACCAAGACACTTAAGAAGTCCCTTTCCACAGCCCGTGCAATTTGCAGATGAACATTTCCGTTAGCTTGACTTTTATACGGGGCTTTCGTTTTCAGTGTGTGGATTTTAAGATCTCACATTTGGAAACCATGGTTAGAATGTGATTGTTCTGTTTATTGATCTAGAGGAGAGAATGTTTTGGAATCTGATGCCTTTTACCACTAGAGACTTCTCTATCCGGTCCCTGGCCGACCGCCTGGGGGACTTGAATTACCTCATATACGTGTTTCCCGATCGGCCAAAGGATGAAGTGTACTCTAAGTACTACACACCGGTCCCGTGCGAGCCTGCCACCGGTGAGTGTCCACATGCAGTGGGTTTTGTACTGACCTCCGTTTCGGTTTTGTTTGCGTTTTTGCTAGTGTGTGTGCACATGCCTTCATTTATATGTGTACGTGTGTGTGTGTGTGTATGTGTGTGTGTGTGTGTGTGTGTGTGTGTGTGTGTGCATTGCAAATCTCTTGCATGCACAAAGGCCCAAACAGCACCACACTGGAGTTCAAGCAATACCCAGAACACATGTGAGCCCTTGTGCAACATTTGTCAATGAAAACGCCTCCGCCTTCTGGATGCTGGGATTAAAGTTGCACAACACCATTCCTGCGCACAATATTCCACATTATCGTAAAGTTTTTGGGCAATACACAGATCTGTTAAGAAAGACTAGAGTCTAGCCTCTGTAAACAGCTCCGTGGCATTCTTCAACATTCTGTAGACGTGTGCTCTGCCCTCTCCTCCAGTACTTGGGAGCTTCTTGTGTGGAGGCTGCAGGAAACCAGCAAGCGAGTCAGCAGAGACGCCTTTCACTTAGCAGTGGATACTCTTAAGAGAAATAAAGTAAAAGTGAGAGGATGGAGAAGTGGTGAGGAGGCCGGCATTGTTTCTCTAGAGATTGGTCGGGGGAGGTTTCTGAGGAAGTGACATGTGAATAGACTTGAACAAAGGAAGGAAGCTGGCTTTGCAAAGACCAAGGGACCAAACTTCCTAGGCTGAGAGAATAAGTACATCTGGGATGGCTGAAAGCTCCCCAGAGCCAGGAGGCTGCTTCCAGCCAAGCAGGAAGCTAGCTAGTGATGGGAACTGGGGCCAGAGCACCTCAGTAGTGGAGGCCAGGGTGAAAGGTCAAACTATGCATAATCCTTAGCTCCTTGATTTTAGAAGCACACGAGCACGCACGCGCGCGCGCGCACACACACACACACACTCACTTTAAAGAATTACAGGTCAGTAATGCATTCACACCACATCATCTTCATGATTGCACAGGATTCCATTACATAGTGACTCTGGACTGTATTCAGGGTTAGGTAATTAAGATTCTTATTACTTAAATTTATTTTGTTTTCACTTATGATTGATATTGAGATAACCTAGTACAAATATATTGTTCAGTTATTCCTTAGGATAAATTCCTGAGCAGAAATAGGTCAAAGGGCATATGATTCGTAAACTTTTTGATACATCTCCCCCAAAACTGCCTTCAAAAAGCCAAATTCACATTTCCTCACAGACATCTGCTTCTCTGTCTTTTTGCCAGCCACGGGATAGCCTCCATTTCATGTCTGCCAGTCTGGTTGGCATAAAAATGGTACCTCATAAGCCTTATGTGTATTTCTCCGATTCTAGGCAACCTTTACATATGGTGATTAATAATTCCAGAATAATACATTGTGGCAGCAGCTGGCATTTGCTGAAGGCCTCTTTGTGCCAGGAATTTTCCTAAACACATTTCTGTCTTAGTCACTGTTCTGTTGCCATGAAGAGACACCATGGCCAAGGCAACTGCTGGGAAAGCATTTAATTGGGGGATGGCCTACAGTCTCAGAGGATGAGTCTGTTATGATCCTGGCAGGGAACATGGTGGCATAATGACGCTAGAGCAGGAGCTAAAAGCTACATCCTAATCTTCAGACACGGGAGAGACTGGGCCTGGAATGGAGTGTTGAAACTTCAAGGCCCGCCTCCAGTAACACCTCCTCCAACCAGGCCACACCTCCTAATCCTTCTAATCCTGCCAAGCAGGTATGCTCCCTGTTGACTAAGCACTCAAATACATGAGCTCGTGGGGCCCATTCTTATTCAAACAACCGCAGTGTCTCACTTAATCCTCCGACCAACTCTGCAAAGTATGACTCTTTTACATAAAAGGAAACTGAGGCATAGAAAAAATAATTTGTCAAAGGTCACATGACTGGGAGGTGGACAAGCTGGTATTTTGGCTTGGTTTAGCTCCTGAGCCTAAATTCATCTTCCACCATTGGCCAGCCCTAGCCATTTGTAATTTTGTTTTTCTGTGGAAACCATGTTTGTATTTCTTCCTTTTTTTTTTTTTTTGAAGTTATATTTTTATATAGAAAATAGATTAATCTGAGGTTGAGGAGACTGTTTGGTCAGTAGAGTACTCACTGTGAGTTTAATACTTAGGGCCCCCACAAAGCCAGGCGATGCAGTACACATTTGTAATCCTGGTGTTGAGGAGATAGAGACAGGTGGGTCCCTGAGGCTTGCTGGCCAGCCAGCCTAGCCTACTCATTGGGTTCCAGTCCAATGAGAGACCCTGTCTCAAAAAAAAAAAAAAGGTGAGCAGTGCCTAAGGAATGACGCCTAAGGTGTCTTTTGTCCTCCAAATGCATAGGCACACACAGGTATGGGCACAGGTATGTGCATGCATCCACACACGTGAAAATGTGTACACACATACACAAGAAAATATGTTAATCTATTATTGATACGTTTATATAGAAAGTATTTTCTCTGTGTTATTTAAGATTTATTTTCTCAAGTACAAAGTCCTGTGACTTCTACATAGAAACCCAATCTGTTGTGGTTTTTTTTTGTTGCTGTTGTTGTTTTCCGGGTGTGTGTGTGTGTGTGTGTGTGTGTGTGTGTGTGTGTCTGTGTGTGTCTGTCTGGGGATGGAACTTGTGTTATCAAGCTTCATGACTTACCCACTGAGCTGTCCTGCCAGCTCCAACTGTGAATCTTTCAGGCTTTTATTTTCCAATCAGTCCTGTAGGCACAGGCCTCTAATCTCAGTTTGGGAAGCCGAGGAAGGAGGATCCAAAAGTACAACACTTGCCTGGGGTAGACAGGGAATTCAAAGCCAGCGCGCACTGTCCCCAAACACAAGTGAAAAGAGGGCTGGGAATGCGGATTGGTGGTAGAGCCTTGGCCTCGTATACACAGTGCCCCAGGTTCCAGCCCCGGTACCAGACAAAGAGTCAGGCAATAGTCGTGAACTCATAAGGTAGAGGCAGGCAGACCTCTGCGAGCTTGAAGCCAGCCTGGTCTACATAGTGAGATCCTGTCTCAAAAGAAAAAAAAAAATTACGTTCACAAATACATAGACCACTAGCAGTTGAGTAGGCGTGCATGGCGGTATCGCCTTCTCTCTGTGGGACTTTCTGAAGCACGCCAGCCAGCCTGGAAGACAGCTCCCTTTGTGGTCTGAGTGCTGCTGCACCTCTTCAGCAGGCCTCCCAGCGCAGAAATGGTACCTGCTATGTCGTGTCCTGAGTTGAGGTTAGGTGGCTTTGTTCTGACCCAGGAAAAGATGGGTTCTTGAGGAAGCTGTCTCCGAGGAGTCTGGTTTTTCACTGCTCTTCTCTCCCCCTCTCCGCCCCCTTCCCCCACAGCAAAAGCAGCTGACGGATACGTGAAGCCGCAGATCAAGCAAGTAGTTCCCGAGTAAGTGTCCAGGGCCCAGCTCTATTCTCCTGCTGCCTTCCCCCAGCGCCCACCCATCACTCTCTGCTGCTGAGTCTAGCATCCCTAACCCCCCAGTAGAGCTGGCTTAGCCTTTGAGAAGGAACTGTGTTCCAGCCATGCTGTGACCAGGCCCCTGGGCTCCAGCCTCCTACGTCCTGAAAAAGACAGGAAGGCGTCCCCGAACCCCTCCTGCAGTCCATTTGGCCGAGACTGTGTTCTGCCTCCTTCTACAGGTTTGCTAACGCATCCGCAGATGCTGGGAGCGGCGCCACCTACATGGACCAGGCCCCGTCCCCAGTAGTGTGTCCTCAGGCTCACTACAACATGTACCCACAGAAGTAGGTCATGATCTCGGGGCCATACACGGGAGGAACTGGGGCCATTAGCCTTAGGCTGGACTTGCCGAGGCCCAGAGTTGGGGGCAAAGGACCCTGAAGGTTCTCTGGGTCTTACCTCACCCAGCCTAGGCCCAGACTCTGGCCTGTAGGAAGGGGAGATTCTACCAGATATTTAAATCACCAGTGGGCGTAAGCACATGGCATCTGCTTGTCTTCTCTGAAGATGGAGATTTGCCACACTTTGTGTCTTAAGGACTGGGCGGAGTCTGGATGAGGGCAGCTAGGGTGGGTATCGAGGTCTAATTGCCTATAGACCTAGCCAGCAAAGGATTTTATCAGGAGGTCTTTCAAGTGAGGGCCTAGGTAAAAGGGACAGTACAGGTGTCTCACGTGATGGGTTGTGGGGTTTCAGATGACCTCTGATAACTTTTGCCCCCCCCCCATCATCTGTCTTTCCCTCTGAAGCCCCGACTCCGTCCTTGATACCGATGGGGACTTTGACCTGGAAGACACGATGGACGTGGCACGGCGCGTGGAAGAGCTCTTAGGCCGGCCCATGGACAGTCAGTGGATCCCTCACGCACAGTCATGACTGGACCTCACCACCTGCAGCTTCGTCGTCCTCCTGGAGGGACTCCTTGTGGATGTTTCAATTCCATGAGTCGCTTCTCCTTGGAAACAATATCATAATGTGAAGTGTCAATAGTAGTTGTGACGTTAGTGTTTCTGTGCATCGTGGCACCACTGAAGGGCGTGTGTGTGTGTGTGTGTGTGTGTGTATGTGTGTGTGTGTGTGGGAGTTTGCACGTACTGGTTTTTTTCCACCCCTCGCTGTCCAGTCTAAGCTGCAGCACCAGGGCAAAGCCGGGCTTGTTTTTACCTTGTGCAGAACAGGCCGTCGCTTCCCTGAACCCTGGAACCTGTCCATGTGTCTTAAGGGTGGCTGAACTTTGACACGAGACTGTTGAAGAGAAGGACAAAGGGAGGAAAAAGCCTTCCCTCTCCAGGGAGCCTCCGCTCCGCTGCCAGGCAGTCCATAGTCCACGCTGTCATTGTCTTTGCCTGTCTTCTGAAGTGTAGATGACTGTCTGTTGACGGAGAAAGCCTGTGCCTCACGAGTCCCCTGTCCCCTTTGCACACGGGGATGGAAAGGGAAGCTGAATGAAGAGTGCTGGGGCAAGGGTGCTCACAGGGTTTTCTAGATGGGTGGTGGCTGTCTCTACCACTTAACCCATCTTGACACTGGCTCCTTGCCCCCTGCTCTCTCAGTCCCCATTTCTAGACTTGCCACTCAGCTTATGTGTGTGTGCTCAAGTGGATATGTTAACCAAACAGTGGAAAGGAGGGAAGGCCACCCGGCCCAGGGCTTACAGGCGATGCCCCAGGCTCTGCCAGCGTGGTGTGGTGTGCCCGGTCCCGACACTGATGTGGCCTGTCTGTGCCACCCTTCCCCGCCCTGTACTTGTGGTGAGGCTGTGCCTACAACATCCAAGGCTTTTCTCGAAGCTTGTTGATAATGGCTTTCTGCAAATGTCCAATGGTGTTTCTGTTTCGAAATCAGGTCCTTTCTGTGTTTTTCCCATCCGCACCCTAATTTGACATCAAATTTCTCTCTTCCTGCATCAGGTCCTGGGTCCTCTCTACCCAGACCACCTCTTTTTCCTTCAGTGTTACATAGTGTCCTGAGGACTAGGTAGTAGGAACATGAGCTGCACCTGGGGCTAGCCTGCCAAGCAGGCAGCCGCCACCGTGGGGTGCTGGGTGCTGTTGGGAGCTGGGGAATTGCAGTCAGCAGGTTTGCTAGGAAGTCTGGTAAAGCTGTAGAAACAAAATGAAAGCCTCAGCGCGATTTTGTTCCACAGTCTCCTCTGCAGCGTCACCAGAAGGAAGGAAAGGGCTGCAGTGGGCAAGCAGAGAGAGGGGCCGGCAGAGAGCGGGTACCACTCGGGCCTGCAGAGCCCTCCCTGGCTTCCTCTCCCAAACCAAGGTGGAGCCACACCCAGGAGAGGAACCCCAAAACCTTATTTTTATACACGCAAGTAAATAAACATATTTTTTTTACAAAAAATAACTTCTGAATTTATCAGTGTTTTACCGTTAAAGGAAAATACTCCTGTGTAGTAAATTATTTATTGGAAGATGACTTTTTAAAAGCTGCTGTTTGCCTTGGCTTGGTTTTGTACACTGATTTTTCTATGCCTGGCGGTAGCCTCTCTGCCTCAGGTGCTCGATGGATAGAGGAGGGGTGAGGCCCCTCAGGAGGAAGCTGGAACTGCTTGGGGAGCCCAAGCTGAAGGGACTCTTCCCCACCTGTCAGTCAAGTGGCCCATTTGCCCCTGTAACCCTCACAAGGGTGTGGACTTGACAAACTTCTAGATTTACGGTAGACGTGGCCCCAGGGCCTGGGGAGAGCAGAGCAGCCTGGAACCCCCGGAAGTTTCCGAGTTTACTCCCAAGTTGGGCTGGAGAAGCAGGTGCCAAACTGTAAGGTTTCCACACAGTTACCAAGCTACCCTGGATTTCCTGAGGCTGTGCCTGGAGAGGGGAGCGTTTGTTTTTTTTTTAACTGGAAGGTGTGTACTCTATCTGCATGCTGGTCTCTCTCTTTGCCTCCACTCCTGCACACAAAGACAAGGTGAGGGCAGGTCTCCACCCACCTCTTGCCTGTTTGCACACCCACACGAGAGTCCTGGAAAGTCTCAGCTTTGGGTGTGGTGTGCATGTGGGGCTCTGTGGGGGGTGGAAGGAGATTCAAAGTGGCTCTTACAAGCAAAATATTCTTTTATAATTTTTCTTTTAAACATTTTATTTCAGATACATATTTTAGTGTCGAGGCAGATTAGTATATAGCCACCAAACAAGTATTGTGTATAAATTGGGGCAGCCACAAAATTGTGTATTTTATGTTACAATAAAGGCGTCTTCTGAAGGACGATATTGGGTCCTGTTTCCTTTCCATCACGTGTCAAGGGAAAGGGAGGGTGGCTTTAACAGAAAAAAAGTTTCCAGTCATCAGTGTGATGCTAAGAAGGGGAACTAGCTGGGACTCAGCAGCTGGGGGTGACATGTCATGGGCTTTGATGGCAGACAAGGGCGTCACTTACCTTCCTGTTGGGAAATGTTTGGGAAATTGGAGTGATAGCAATTTCAGCGTCTCCTTACACTCTTCCTGATGGAGAGCTAGCCCTGAGTGTGTTCAGATTTCTCCCCTGAGCCTGGCACCATGTCGGGGAACTGGTGATAATGACAGGACGTTGGTTCCTGCCAACACTATGAAATAAAAAGAAACAAAGAGTCATGGGAGGGTGAGCTGGCCTTTCTTCCTCTCTTTTGTGGTGGTGGGGCTTGAACCTGTGGCCTCAGCATTCCTGGGAAGCACTCTGCCACTTAGCTATGGCCCCTCTTTCTTTCAAGACAAGGTCTAAGGCCCTACTTGAAGTCACTGTCTTCCTTTCTCAGCCTTCAGAGTACCAGGCCTGCATCAGCAGCCCAGTGTCTGGGCCAGCTCTGGACAAACAGGAGTTTAGGAAGGAAGAGGCATTCAGCCTGAAGGAGTGGTGAAGGGTAGACGGGCTTAGAGGAAAGCCTGAGCCAGGGCATTAAGTGTGTGGCAGAATCTTCTGGAAGGCTGGTGCAATATAGGCTGAGGTTTTTTTTGCCCACTCCTCAGAGTCTCTGGAGCTCCTGGGCCAGAGGCCATGCCGTGGGAAGTCTCTTGGATGGGGATGAAGCTATAAGACAGGCAGGGGACCAAGGGACCTCATGGGCCTGGCTGAGTTTGAACTTTGCCTGAGGGAGATGGTAGGGGGTGAAATCTCAAGTTTGGAATGACCAGATTTCCATTTTTTTTTTTATGTCTTAGTCAGGGTTACGATTGCTGTGATGAAAAAACGTGAGCAAAGAGCAAGTTTCGGAGGAAAGGATTTATTTGGCTTCCACCTCCACAGCTCTGTTTATCATCGGGAATAATTGTGAAGGAGCAGCAGGATGAAGGTCACTCTTTTGCCAAGCCCATCACACAGGTGAATGGAGTTATGTGAGGTCGGGTTACAGATACTGGTCCTATCGGTAGGAAGTCTTTCATGGGTCAAATCAAAGATGGTAGCCACATGCTGGGAAGTCCTTCAGGAGACAGGAGGAAGTCAAACAGGGCAGAAATCTGAAGGCAGAGGCCATGGAGGGGTGCTCCTCACTGGCTTGGTCTCCGTGGCTTGCCCAGCCTGCTTTCTTACAGAACCCAGGACCATCACCTTGCCAAGGGATGGCCCTCCCCACAGCGGGCTGTCACTAATTAAGAAGATAGACTACAGGCCTGCCTACAGGTTGGTCTTATTGAGGCATTTTCTCTCATGGAGGCTCTCTGCTCTCCAGTGACGCTAGCTTGTGTCAAGTTGACATAAAAGTAGGCGGGGGAGAGATGGAGAGATGGCTCAGAGGTTAAGAGAGCACTGTCTGCTCTTCCAGAGTTCAGTTCCTGAGTTCAATTCCCAGCACCCACATGGTGGCTCATACTCATCTATAATGAGATCTGGTGCCCTCTTCTGGCCTGCAGGGGCAGAACGTTGTGTATGTAATAAATAAATAAACTTAAAAAACGAAGGAGAAGAAGTTCATAGGCCATTCTTGGCTGGATAATTACAAGGCCAGTCGAGGCAACAAGTGACCTTATCTCAAAAAAAGGAAGTCAGGAGGCCGAGTGGTGGTGGTGGCAGCCAGCACCTCTTTAACCTGAGCTCTCAGGAGGCAGAGACAGGTAGATCTCTGTGAGTTCAAGGCCAGCCTTGTCTACAAAGTTCTGCGACAGCCAGGACTATCTTGAAAAATAAAAACAAAAACAACAATAAAACACAAGCAAACAAAGGAACAAAAAGATGGTGGGGCTAAGTTGAGCTGGAGATGGCTCAGCAGCTAAGAACACTTACTGCAACTGGCCCGTGATGGCACACACCTTCCATTCCAGCACTCAGGAGGCAGAGGCAGGCAGATCTCTGAGTTCAAAGCCTGATCTACAGAACAAGTTCCAGAACAGCCAGGGCTACACAGAGAAGAAATTTTATCTCCAAAAATAAACAACAAACAAACAAAAAAACACAAAAGCACTGCTTTTGCAGAAGGCCTGGATTCAGTTCCTAGCACCTAGATGGTGGCTTCCAACCATCTGTAAACTCCAGTACCAGGAGAGCCAGTACTGTCTTCTGGCCTCCAAGAGCCTGAGGCACGCATGTGCTCCATGTACATTCACGTAGGCAAATACACACACACACACACACACACACACACATACACACAAATAAATAAATAGATAAATAAATGTTTAAAAAAAAAAAAAAGAAAACTCCTACTGCAGTCCCAGTGTGTGTAGCTCCGAGCAAGGCAGAACAAGCCACGAGAGAACACTGGGAGACCATTCCAAGAGAAGATGGTCATCATGTGGACACCCACAGCTGTGGGCTTAAAGCACAGCCACAAACCTAACAACCAACATTGGAAGATGGTTTGAAATCTAGACTTATTCCCAAGTTTGAGGCACGAGAAATGGTCATCAAGTTCTATGTTCCTCTAAGGGCTGGGACTGTAGCTCAATGGTGGGCCCCTTGCCTCTTGTGCAGTAAAGCTCTGGGTTCAATCCCCAGCACAAGAAGAAGTAAAACAAAAACTGTCCGAGGTAGATGCTTCTCTCAGGGTGACGGAGGTGGGGGTGGGAGGGCATGGCTGGGAAGAAAGGTAACGGGCAGAGAGGGCTCTGAGCCCATTATGCACTGAGGATGTATCTGCACTGGCAGAGTGCTTACCGAGCATGCACACGGCGGCTCCATGGTTGACCAGCATAACCATCCTTGGCGGTATATGCCTCAAATGCCTGCCGGCATTCGGGAGGTGGAGGCAGGAGGAGCAGAAGTAACCTGTTTGAAGCCATCCCAAGGGACCCTGTGTTCTGTAATAGCTAGCTACAGTAGTCACACTTGGGGTTTGAATGAGTTTATTAAGTATGTAGCAAGCAAAAGCCAATGAATAGATAACAAGTAGCAGATACATAGCAAACATCATAGCAGCCGTTCATAACATCCAGCAGAGATGAGGAGAGTAGCCAACAGAGATGGGGTGGGCGAGCTGAGGCAGTCAAATGGAGTTCCTGATTGGCCTTATTCTCCATCAGTGAGCTCCTGGCTTCCTGCTCAAAAATGCCTTATTTATTTATTTATTTATTTATTTATTTATTTATTTATTTATCCTACAATGGGATGAGCCAACACTTTTGTCGGAAATGTTTCAGTTCGGAGCTACTTTGCTGTTCTTCTGTATCTCCATTCCAGAGACAGGGGACCAGCCTATCTCAGGACAAGGGAGTTTGCAGGACATAATAATTAAAATGTTAAGTTTTTAAAATATGTATTTAATTTTATGAGTGCGGGGGGTTTTGCCTGCATGTGTTTACACACACTGTGTGAGTTTTATGCCTACAGTGACCAGAAGAAAGCATCAGATCCCCTGGATTCAAAGGGAAACTGAGCCTGAGCCCTCTGCTAGAGCAGCAGGTGCTCTTAGCTGCTGAGCCGTCTCTCCAGCTGCCACAAACTTTTTGAAAGTGTAAGTATGGACACTTTTCAGATCATGCCATGGAACCAATATTGTCCTAATGACAAAGCTAGAGTAAGGCATCACAAGACCAACACAACTCATGAAGATGGACACAAACATCCTGAGCTAGCAGATTGAATCCATCAACATATAACAGGAACCACAAGCCAGATTTATCCCCATAATTCAGAATTCGCTTAGCATATGAGAGTCTATTTGCATATCAATATAATTAACAATAAAAAGGGAACTGGGCAGCTGGGCAGTAGTGGCACACACCTTTCCTTCCAGCACTTAGGAGGCAGAGGCAGTTGGATCTCTGCGTTTGAAGCCAGCCTGGTCTATAGAGTGAGTTCCAGGACAGCCAGGGCTATACAGAGACACCCTGTCTGGAAGAGCAAGCAAACAAACAAACAAACAAACAGCAACAACAAAACAAACCAGAGAGGTAGAGAGGTGTGTCAGTTGGCAAAATGTTTTCTGTCTGAAGCATATGAACCAGAGTTTGAATGCCCAGCACCCATGCAAAAAGCCAGGTGTGAGGACAGGTGTGGTGTCCCACACCTTTAATGCCAGCACTTGGAGGCAGAGACAGGCAGATCTCTGTGAGTCTGAGGCCAGCCTGGTTTACAGAGTGAGTTCCAAGGCTACACAGAGAAACCCTGTCTAGATGGGAGAGAGAGAGAGAGAAGAAAAACAGTATTATGCCCAGATCTTAAGGTCCCCAAAGACCACCAGGAGCCAGACCATTCATGCAAGAGCAAAGAGCTTTATCTGGGCTTAAGCTGGGTCATCACCAGTTCAGTGGATCAGAGAGGAAGTCCTGGTTTAACAGTTACACAACTGGATGACATTCAGCAAGGGCAAACTTGTTACAAGGTGATTGGCTAACCTAACAATGAGCAAGCTATCTACAGTCTTCAGGAATGTTAGGTATTTTCTGTGCCAGGAATGTTCTACTACAAGGTTGGTGGGCTGCCCAGAACCGATCCCCCACCCTGAGATAAGATACCTTCCCATTCTTGTGATTATCCTCAGGCTGTTCCTTGGGTAGGGAATTTTATGACCTAGAATTGGTGATCTATGGCCTAGTTCCTGGTAACTTTAGGGGGAGGAGTGTCACTAGTTCCTGCTGACTTTTGGGGGTGTCATGCCTGGTTTTCTAACAGTAGCACCATTTAAGAAGATGCTGAAGATAGACTAAGATGATAATGAAGGAGAGGGGGACCTCCCCTATCAGTGGACTTGGGGAAGGGCATGCGTGAAGAAGGGGGAGAGAAGGTGGGATTGGGAGGGGAGGAGGGAGGGGCTTATGGGGGAATACAAAATGAATAAAGTATAATTAATAAAAGTTAAAAAAAAAAAAAGAAGATGCTGAAATCTGACAGCTCCCATCATACTGGTGAAAAACCTATATACTCTCCCCTAAAATCAGGTACAAAAATGGTAGCAGCAAGCATGATGCTTCTGAGTGGAAAAGCATCTTCAGAAGTAAAGCTCCTGACCCTCAAGAACATCCTGAGAAAATGAATGGCGGTGGCACAAAATATGGCACTTAGCCAAATATACATCAGGAGGCATGAATGCAAAGTATAGAAGACATTCATTTTTGCTGTTGTTGTTGTTTTGTTTTTCAAGATAGAGTTTCTCTGTGTACCCTTGGCTGTCCTGAACTAACTTTGTAGACCAGGCTGGCCTCAAACTCACAATGATCTGCCTGCCTCTGCCTCCCAGAATGCTGGGATTATTGGCATGAGCCACCACACCTGGCCTACAAGAGATTCTTGCAAGAAGGAAAAAAAAAGAAAGAAAGAAAGAAAGAAAAACAGTTCAAATGTGAGTAAGTTATATGACTAGATATTTTCCTATATATGGGCAATAAATACATGGAAAGATGATCATCATTCATAAGTGTATATTAAAACTACAATGAGGCCAGGTACTGGTGGTGCATGCCTTTAATCTTAGAACTGGGGAGGCAGAAGCAGACAGATCTCTGAGTTCGAGGCCAGCCTGGTCTATAGAGTGAGTTCCAGGACAACTAGGGCTACACAGAGAAACCCTGTCCTGTAAAGACAAAACAAAACAAAACAAACACCACCACCAACAACAGAAAGAAATAATATTTAGTTTAAGAGGAAAAAAAAAAAAGTCTTAAGCTGTGATTCACAGGGACTGAAGATATAGCTAAACTGATAACATATTTGCCTAGCATATGTTTTAAAGATTTATTTATTTTATGTATATGAACACTGCTTTCATGCACATCAGAAGAGGGAACCAGATTCCATTACAGGTGGTTGTGAGCCACCCTGTGGATGCTGGGAATTGAACTCAGGACCTCTGGAAAAACAGCCAGTGCTCTTAACCTATGAGCCTTCTCTCCAGCCCTAGGATTTTTTTTTTTTTTAAGACAAGATCTCTGTGAAGCTCAGGGTGGCCTTGAACTTGTTCTGTACCTGAGGATGACTCCAGATCCTCTTGCCAAATCCCTGAGGGCTGGAATGACAGGTGTGCACAACCACACCTCCACAACTGTGGTTTATAAGCTGTTTTCAAGTCTGAGCCTGCTCCAGAATGGAGTGCAGGTATGCAGGTACTCTTCCCACCACCTCCCTTTCTCTTTCATGCTACCATAGCCCTGACTCCCTCATCTGCCAACCTGAGCCTGCTCTCAACCCTTTAGGTGACCTGTTTCTTTAAGAACACCCCACCCTTTCCCCGACCCACCAAGGTCCGCCCAGTCAGGCCGGATTTCCTGTCCAAGCCCTGCCCTCTAAAGTCATCACCACAACTTTCTGGCCTGCTGTGTACAGAGACTAGAGGCACTGAGGGACCAGAAGGGATCTCGGGTGCTGAAAGTAGGCAGAAATGGGCTGTGACGGATGCATATATCCCCTGGGCTCTAGCGGGGAAAGGGGACCAGGGCAGGCAAGATCCTGAGGGAAAGCAGAGTCACTTGGGAGTGGGTTAAAATGCCCTGTGTTGTGCTCAGCCTTCACAGGGAGCAGCTATTCAGGCTGTTCTTCCAGCTACACGGATAGGGGATTGAAGATGCTGGTTAGTAGGATGCCAGCGTCTTGAGGGTCTCTCCTCCGTACCGCTTGCCCAGCAGGGCCCTGGCCCATTCTTCCTCTGTTTTCTGTGTGCGGCGGAGTGACCTGGTTATCCTCCCAGGGGCCACACTCTGTTCCATTCTTCTCCCAGGAGCTGCTTGGAGATGCTTCTCCTGCTCCTGCTGCTGCTGCTGCTGTTGCTGCTGCCCCCGCTGGCCATGCTCTGGCAGCAGAGGTCTCGGGATGCCAGGCCATCCTGGCTGCTCGGCCTCCAGCACCGGATGGCCTGGGGGGCGCTGGGCTTGGCAGCTGCCTGGCAGCAGCGGAAACTGAAGCAGAGGACACTGTGTGTGGACCAGAGCCAGCAGCAGGCCCTTATGTGGTGTCTGAAGAGAGCTCGGGGTCTCTGCTCTCTCCCCAAGGAGAACAGAGGTGTGTTTCTGGCACCTTGGGGAGGTGCCCAAAGAGAGACAATAACCCACAAGACAGTCAGATTCTACAACCCAAAACGCCCCTTCATTTACCACTAATACCCTGTGGCCTGGCCCAGAGCCCTACCACAGCCTACACCTGACTCCTGTTAGGATGGAGTTTCCTTTGCTGGGTCCAGTTCAAGCCCTCACTCCACTTCCCAGGTCCTTTCTGGGTTCCTTCCATGAGGGTCTCCACAGTCTTTTCACTTCCTGAGGAGTTTCTTGTATTTGGGTGGGGGCGGGGGATGTGCTTACAGACATGAGCTCCTTCCGGAATCATCTCCCATTGACCAAAAGCAGCCACATCCAGGAGGAAGAAAGTGAAGAGAAGCTCCTGCCCCCTACCCTACCCCAATACCATGGAGAGGCCTCTTTGCAGGTAAACAGAGGTACCCCCACCCCACAGCAGCAGACCCTCACCAAAGGATGTACACAGAAGGCTCACAGCGGGAGCTAGGGTCTGATTCTGAAGTCCGAAGTCCTTCCTGTCTCCCTCCAGGCCACCCTGCTGGGTCTAGTAACCCTAAACAAGGCCTACCCAGAAGTGCTAGCTCCAGGAAGTACTGCCTGTGTGACCCCTACATCCCCCTGGCCCTACTCTGTGCCCTGGCTCGGGGATGCCCTGGGCCGGGTGAGCCCTGTGGGAGCCAAGGACGCCCGGACCCTGCTGCTGGAGGCACTGATATCCCCAGGGCTGAGGGTGCTGGAGGCAAGGACTGCAGTGGAGCTCCTGGATGTCTTTGTGGGCCTGGAGGCTGACGGCAAAGAACTGGCGGAGGCCATGGCAGCTGGGGAGCTAGGAACGCCGCTCCCCGGACGAGCAGCTGAACTGCAGGAGGCCCTCGAGCAGGGACCCCGAGGACTGGCCCTTCGTCTCTGGCCAAAGCTGCAGGTGGCGGTGACTCTCGATGCAGGAGGCCAAGCAGAAGCTGTGGCTGCCCTTCGGGCCTTGTGGTGCCAGGGGCTAGCTTTCTTCTCCCCTGCTTATGCTGCTGCTGGAGGTCAGCATGATGTGGGGACTGGGTGCAGGTGGAGCTGGGGCCAGAGGTCACACAGCTAGCTGACATGCATAGAGCTGCATACGCTTACCTTCTTGAATCCTCCTCAGTGCCGGGGCTGGTATGGGTTCCTAGCTCTGACTGACAGTTGAGCATGCCAAGGTTCACTGAGATACAGCATCTCACACAGATTCATGAGGTACCAGGATCTGTTTCCAGCTCTGTTCCCTGCAGAACCACAGCCTGCCTCCACCCAGTCCAGACCAGGAGGGAGCAGGGTGGACCTGGGGGTGTCCAGAAAGGCTGTAGCAGGAGGACCAGATGCTCAGAGGAGGGGAGCTATCGTTCAGAGTGAGGCGTTGCTTTCTGCTTGTGGCCTGGAAGAAAGGAACGCACCAGGAGGTTGACAACAACGGGATTGTTTTGCTTTCTGTAGGGGTGATGGCCCTAAACCTGTGGCCAGAGCAACCCCAAGGGGTCTATCTTCTGCCCCCTGAACCCCCCTTTATTGAGCTGCTTCCAATCAAGGAAGGAACCCGAGAGGAGGCAGCCTCCACCCTTCTTCTTACTGATGCCCAAAGGGAAGGAGAGTATGAGCTGGTGCTGACTGACCATACCAACCTGACAAGGTGATCCCCTACTGGCCCCTGTCACCTCCGATGGAGACCCTGCCCTTGGGAGGAGACGAAAGCTCACTCTTCCCCTTAACCTACTCATCAGGTGCCGCCTGGGTGACGTGGTACAGGTGGTTGGTGCCTACAATCAGTGTCCTGTTGTCAGGTTCACCGGCAGGTAGGTGACCCCAGGGGATGCTGAGGGGTTGTCCCTATGCCTTGGGTCCACTCCCTCCTCCTTCCTTCAGGCTGGGACAGACCCTGAGTGTTCGAGGAGAAGTTACTGGTGAGAATCTGTTCTCTGTGGCCCTGGCCCAAGCAGTGGGGCAGTGGCCAGGGGCCAAGCTGTTGGACCATGTCTGTGTGGAGAGCAGCATTCTGGGTAAGCATCTCTACCAGCTCCTGCCTCCTGCTATCCCCCAACCCATGTTCACCCTGACCAGAGACATCTAGGGAGGACATGAAACTCACCCTTCCCCACGGTTCCTAACAAAAGGCCCTCTCTATGTATAACTCCCATCTCTCTCATTACAGTCTCCACCCATTTTCTTTCCCGACCTGTCTCCTGTTTAGGAGCTCTAGGTTCTCCTCTGTTTGCTACTTGCCACCAAGAATCCTTTCTTCCCCGCCTCCCCCCCCCCCCCCCATGAACCTTAGACTAGGGAAGAAGTGAAGGCAGAGGGTGCTGGCTCTGGGAGCCACCTTGTCCTCAGGAAGTACCTGTTTGGGTGGCTTTGTCCTCAGACTCCTGTGAGGGTTCCGCCCCACACTACGAGGTGTTCGTGGAGCTGAGGGGGTTGAGGAATCTATCCGAAGAAAACCGAGACAAGGTAAATGATAAGACCAAGGTCTGACTCTAAATCTCTTTTGCTCTACAAGCCCCCCTTCCCCAATAGTCATGGAGATGAGAGATTTAAGGGAAGGGAGTGTCAGGGACAAGAGCGTCCCCTTCAGGGAATCTGGGGAAGGGAGCATGGGTCCCACAACACGCATTTCCACACCAAAATCTTAAGTGCATGTAGCCTTGGATATGGCCACCTCCTCACAGCCTCACCCCACTGTTCTGCCCTTAGCTTGACCACTGCCTTCAGGATACCTCCCCTCACTACAAGTCCTTGCGGTTTCGGGGCAGTGTGGGTCCTGCCAGAGTCCATCTGGTGGGGCCAGGGAGCTTCAAAGAACTCCGGGAAGCACTTTCGGCCAGCCCCTCCTCTCCTTTCCCTCCTGAAATGCCTCGGGTTCTCAGGCTCAGGCACTTGGCCCAGCTCCTGCAGAAGAGGGTGATATCCTAACCAGGGCAGCCAGGCTCCCCTTGGCCACCTCACTGTTCTCTGGGGCATCTCTGGATGTTGAGTCCTGGACCAGACATCACATAATATTGGCCCATCAGAGCCATTGGATCTTAGGAAGGCCTTAGATTCATTTGGCAAGTTTTAAGGTGCAGGCTTTGGGCCTACAGCAGAACCTGTCTGTGTCCTAAAGCTGTCCCCCTCAGCCTACCCTACATGATGCTGCTGAGGAGTTCCGATGCACCCTGGTGGCTTGCTGTGTCTCAGCCCCTCTCGTGTGCCTGACCAGGGTACAGCATGGGCTGAAAGTGTAGGGGATGCTCCAGGAGCAGATGAATAAAGACCTCAGCATCACTGTCTCATGGTCTGAGGTCTTGCACAGTCTCCTGAGAGCATGAGGCTGCAAGCCCACAGGAACAGTCCAGTGTTTAATACTCACACTAGCTTTCGCCCCTTCCTTCCATCCTTTCCCTTGCCCACTTTGTCCTTTTGCTCCCTGGACCAACCTCCAAATAAAATTCTTTTTTAAATGCCTGTGTTTATTTTATATTATCTGAGTGTGTGCGTGTGTGTGTGTGTGTGTGTGTGTGTGTCACACACACACACACCAGGTGTATGCAAATGCTCTCAGAGGCCAGAAAATGATAGTTAATTCTCTGGATCTGGCTTTACTGTCAGTTGAGAGCTTCTGTGTGGGTACTGGGAACCAAACCCAGGTCCTTTGTAAGAACATCAAGTACTTGGCTGCTGAACCATTTCTTCAGGCCCCCAAATAAAACCCTTATACCCAGATTCTGAACCCCACTTTGGGAACACCGGCTAAGGTCCTATCCATGCTGCTTCAGGCAAAGTCTGGGCTCCCCTCCAAAGCCCACCCATCCATCCCCTCTCCGCCCTGAGATTCACCTATTCTGCACATTGGCTTAGTTTAGTCCCAGTAGTGTGAACACACAGGAACTCCTCAAGCCTCCCACCACAGTTTGACATGACCAAGCATACAGATGCCCTCTGCCCTCCCGTCCCAAGCACAGCTGGAAGGTGAAGGAGCAATTGCCAGCTTCTCAGCACTGGGCTCCTTCCTGGCCTGGCCTGCACAAACCACTTCCATGAGGAATAAGGAGGAAGCTATACTTCAAGTCACAAAGTGTCACAGTAGCAAAGAGCCTCAGAGCCACCTGCAGATAGCGTTCATAGCAGCGAGAAAGCTTAAGTCTCAGGGCTAGGAGGCCAAGACCAGCAACTCCTGGAGTCCAGCTCAGTATTCAGCTTTCAGTCCCGCCTCTGAATCTTTTCTCTCTCCTATATCCCCACCCGTGGGTTCCCACTTCCTCCCTAGTCAGTCCCACATTAACCTTTTAAAATCCACCACCACTGACTGTCAGCCTGGTACACAAGGCCCTGGAAAGTCTTAGCCACCTTACCTCTCCCTTTAGCCCCATAGAAACTATGACACCCACATCCCTTGTGAGCCAAGCACTGTCACATCCAAGCATTTGTTCACTTTGTCCCTTCTCAGCCATACTCTGTCCCCTACCTACGTAATGGAAGCTACTTTTCAGGCAAAGCCTTTGAGGGACCCCCCCCCCGAAGGAAGTGGCTGTCTCATCTTTGCTGGTATCTGAGTAGTCCCTCCTCTGCATTGAGCTATCCTTGAGCGCACAGGTCACCCTACCCAGTCTTTCATGCTCTTTGAAAGTGGGAACATGCAGGCTGGGGAGATGGCTCCACTAAGAGTAATTAATTATTGCTTTTGCAAAGGGCCTGGGCTCAGTTCCCAGCACCCACTTGGTGACTCACAACTATCCATAACTCCAGTTCCAGGGGATTCAAAGCCCTCTTTTGGCATTCACAGGCATACATGAGGAACAGATCCATACACACAGGTAAAGCACTCATACATATAAATCTTTGAAAGAAAGAGAAGAGAGAGAAAGAAAGAAGAAAGAAGAGAGAGAGAGAGAAAGAAAGAAAGAAAGAAAGAAAGAAAGAAAGAAAGAAAGAAAGAGAAAGAAAAAGAAAGAAAGAAAATAGAAAATGGAGTCACATCCTAGGCACACTGCTGTCCCTGCACCCATGGAGATACAACCACGCAGAACTGATCTACATCCTGGAGGTAGCATGAGTCCTTTACCACCCCCACCCCCATCACTCCCACACCCTGTTCCATGATGGCTCGGTCCTAGAGATGGTGGAGTAAGACTATCCTCTCCACCAGCTTCCAGAACTGAGGTCTGGAGGCTTTCTCACACCTTGCCCACAGTAAGTTTCCAAGACTTTCTTCCATGGAGGAGTTTGGTGAAAGGAACAGAAGAAAAGGCGAGCTGTAGGGGTGGAAGGAAGGACAGTTCAAGAGTTGTTTCCATGGAGGAAAAGGGCCTTGGAATCTAATGGACTCCAGAGTCAGTGACAAGGAGTAGGAGGTGATGGGAGCATGCTACCCAGGTCCCCCCCTACTCCTCCACCCTCAACATACCATGGCCAGTGGTTCTCAGGCTGCCACTTCTTCTGCCCCTAATTAGCACCTGCCCCCTCCCCTTTTGTCTCTAGGCAGTGCTTCAGCTGAGGCCTCTTTTGTGAACTCGGATTCCTGGGTTCGAGGTAACCTCATTAGTACCCAGAGACCGCCCCATCTCCAAGGAACAGGCAGACAGACAAGCGGGGGGACCCGGGACAGGGTGGCCATTCTTTGGGTCCAACCTGGAGACGGCTCCCCTGCATGATGCTAATCTGAGACATGCCTTTGTCTGGTCTCAAGTGCTCGTGTCTCCCCCAACACACACACACACACACACACACCTCGGAGCACTATAAACCCCCAGTCCCTGAAAGCAGGCCACTGGAGAAGACGGCCTCAGACTTCCTGTGTATTTGGAGCTCTACACTGAAGACAGCGTCCCTCCAGACTACCCTGCCCTGACCTCCCGACACCATGAATCTTCCTTCTACAAAGGTAAAGAGCTAGGAACCGGAATGAGCTTCATCAAACCACTAAGGTCATTAGAGTGTTTGCCCAGGGCCTGGGCCGGTGATGATCACTGAGACAGGAGTCTAGGTGGGTTCTTGGCAACCAGCCTGCTTGGTTAACACTGGGTATGCCATTCTGTAGGGGCTCATGTTTACTGAGCACGTGTATTCCTGATGCTTTAGCACTGGTCAGCTATGTCTTCCACCCGGCAGCCCTGGGCAGTAGGGATATAATGCCTAGTTTGTAGGTGAGCAAGGGCTGTCCCAAGAAGGTGAGAAACTGGTCCAAAGCCTCAGTGGTTCACTTTCCCCAGCAAAGGAACAAAACAGGTTTGCTCTGTGTACAGAAGGAAGGACCACACTGAATAAACCTTTTGTTTCCATCAAGCTTGTAAGTTCCGGTACAGACAGACCCCGACATCTGCAGGTGGAGGGGTAAGCCCTTAAATATGTTTACAAGGGACAAACTTATTCTATCCGGGGAAGTCTGAGGGCTTCCCACAGGAGATGGCTCAGTTGTATTGAAGGATGCGCTGACAAAGGAACCAGACACGGGAAGCTCTGTGACAGCCAGGCACGACCTCAGGCAAGGAAAGGTTCCAAGCCATCTGGGTGTGGAGTGAGTGAAACCCTTTCTCACCTTGTTTCTGTCCCCTGTAGGTTCCCTGGGCCGCCCTGACGCTCCTGCTGCTGCTCCTGCTGCCGCCGGCGCTGCTGTCGCTTGGGGTGGACGCGCAGCCTCTACCCGACTGCTGTCGCCAGAAGACGTGCTCTTGCCGTCTCTACGAACTGTTGCACGGCGCTGGCAACCACGCGGCGGGCATCCTGACTCTGGGAAAGCGGCGACCTGGACCCGCAGGCCTCCAGGGCCGGCTGCAGCGCCTCCTGCAGGCCAACGGCAACCACGCAGCCGGCATCCTGACCATGGGCCGCCGCGCAGGCGCAGAGCTAGAGCCTCGTCCCTGCCCCGGTCGCCGCTGTCCGACCGCGACAACCACAGCTCTAGCTCTCCGGGGTGGGTCCGGAGTCTGACCTGTCCCTGTCCTAACCTCTCCCCTCTGCTCTCCAGTGTCAGCCTCTAGGAAAACGTCAATAAAGACGAGCCTCTGTTGGTGTGGCCAATCTTTGCTCCCGTGTGTCAAGTTGAGGCCTCCAGGGGGCGGGAAGGCGTCTGGAGTTAGGGCCTGGAAGGAGCTTGTGTATCTCGTCCTAAAGGCTTGGTCCGGGGAGAACCCAGTGCAAGGAACCTTGCGGAGTCCTGGGGAGCGCGCTGCACGCTTGAGAGGGTGGAAGTGAGGTACCGATGTGTCCGCCACGTCGTTCTATAAACAGGGTCTTACGTATCCTTGGTAGTCCTCGGAAGACCAGATGACCTTAAATTTAAAAGACCTTTTGATCCCACTTGCCGCCCCCTCCCCGGCGACGGCCGGGGCTCCACGGAAGGCTGCAGAAAAGGCAAGGCACAGAAGCTTCCGCGAGGAGCCTTCCAGAGCGTTTGTAGGGTGGCCGGCTGTGCCGAGGGTGAGCAAAGTCACACCGGGAAGGAGGTATAAGTTTGTGGAGCCATTGCATAGGACCGGGTTTTTTGGTTGTTTGTTTTTTGAGGCAGCTTTTCTCCGTGTAGCCTTGGCTGTCCTGGACTCGCTTTGTAGAGCAGGCTGGCCTCGAACTCACAGACATCCGCACCCACCAGCCAAGGAATGCCAGAGGTCACCAGCAGCCCGCTAGAGGACAGCATAGAACAGACTCCTCTTCACAGCTTTAGGAGAGATCCAGCCCCTAGTCCAGCTTTATTTACACCTTGATGAGACAATCCCAGAACTGTTCAGGCCGTCCATCCTGTCTGTGTCACTCTGCTGTAGCAGCCCTAGAACTGCGATAGAATGCAAAATTCAAGAGCAGAGACACGAAGGCTGGCAAGAGGGCTCGGGGGCGGGGGGGGGGGGGAAGGACCCTCCCTTGCTATCAAGACTGAAGAACTGAGTTCGGTCCAGGGGACCCCACAAAGTGCAAGGAGAGAGCCAACCGCTGGATGTTGCCCTCTGACCTCCTCCACACTGGCGCGGGGCATGTACACACACACACACACACACAACATAAAGAAATGTAACCACCTTTTTTTTTTAAAGAAAAGAAAGAAAGAAACATCCCAACTCCAGCAGGCGGCACTGTCGACCAGACACCATCCTCAGCGTGGGCCGCGCGGGGAAACCCGGGAGGTGGAGCCACGGGAACAGCCAGGGAACCACGCGTCGGGGCGTGGCCACCCTGGGAGAGGGGCGTGGCCAGCGTGCAAGCCCCACCTCCTCGGCGCGAGCCTCGACGGTGGGCGTGTCTCCGAGTCTCTCTCCCCAGGAGACACGCGTGGGCCGCTCCCCTCTGGGAGGAGGGCCACCGGGGAGGGGTGCGGGTGTCTCTGGCGGCCCCTCCCGGCGCGGGGCCACGTGGTGGGTGCGGGCCGAGCCCTCCGGGAAGAACCTGACCCGTGGGGAGGGGAGGTGGGGTGGTGGGGGTGGAGTGCTCCCGAAGTGCTGCGGCGGAGCAGAGCTCGGAGCTACCGGGTTCAGAGCGGAGAGGCAGTGGCGGCGAGACGAGGGGAGCTGGCAAGGCCGGCGCATGGGGCGCCCCGGCCCCGCCGGTAGCGCGCCCCCGCCGGCCAGGCCGCGCTGAACACAGCCCGCGCGACGCCTGGCATCCGCACCCGGGGCCATGCCGGTCATGAAGGGGTTGCTGGCCCCGCAAAACACCTTCCTGGACACCATCGCCACCCGCTTTGACGGCACGCGTGAGTTGAGCCGGGGCTGGGTCGGGTCTCCTTGGGACGGGGTGGGTATCCTGGATACGGCGAGATCAGGCCAGAGAGAATGGGCTGCAGGAACTCCTAAAGCCGTGGCGAGGAAGCAGGGTGGGGAGCTGGGGCGGAGGGAGACGGGGAGACAAGGTTAGGGGGGTGTGACTCGAGGCGAAAGCGGCTCTTCTGTGCCACAAGACGGAGGAGGGGCCCTGGGAGCCACCCACTCCAGGGCAGAGCGGAGCTGGGGGTGTGTGTGGAGGCATCTGAGTCGTGGACACGGGGCAAAGTGGACTGATGACTACAGCTGCCTCGGCCGGAAAAAAGAGAGAGAGAGAGAGGAGAGAGAGAGAGAGAGAGGACCTGGCAAGACCTAGTCTGCAGTGAGGTCACGCGCCCCCAGTTCACGAGATATCCGTGTGTGAAGTGGGTGATGCCAAGCCGGGGCAAGAACGTGAGACCGAGGGAACTCCTCCCCGCTAGCCCACCTGAGCGTCGGTCCCGAGTTCAGCACCTTGGACAGCCACACGGCTTCCTCCTAGCCTCTTCTCCCGCCCTTCCCTCTCCCAACTCTGGAACCCCCAGGTCTGCCTTTGTCCCTCTCCGAAACCCTGGCCCGCATTAGGAGGGTGGGGGAGCGGTAGCCGAGGGCGGAAACCGAGCCGCCAGGGCCCTACCCCCCCCCCCACTCCCTTGTTTCCATAGCGCCAATCACCGAGGCAACGGGGCCCTGGGATGGAAGAAGTAGGCTGTGCCCAGGACCCAGAGCTTCCTAGGCACCTTCAGTGTCCAGACCAGCCACCTCATCCGCTGACAATACACCCTCTTCTAGGGTCCTTGAACGTGTCTCACACTCAGCCTGTCCCTGGATGCCCCCACCCGCAGCCTGAAGCTAGAGGGAGCAACTCAGGTTCCGGTGCTGAGTTCTCCCCGTTTGACTTTGAGCATCAGGAACAGATCCCCTGTTAACTAGTTAAAAAAATAAAAATAATAATCAGAAAGTCGGCATTTCCTGGAAGGCAAGAAAAAGGATGTGTCTCCCGTCTTTCCCTCACTCTAAACACGTTTATGAGTTTGGAAGTGTTCTGCCCCTTGGTTTAATCCTAAGAAAGTGCGTTGTCATCAGAATCTTTGTCCTCCCCTCCTTTGTCCAAGGATGTGCTTCCAAAACTGAGTGACTATGGGGGGATCTTTTTTCCTTCCTCACCATAGCACTTCCTGAGTTCCAGGAGACCTTCTTTCTGAGTTACCTGATGCAACCCACGTCCACGAGGGAAAGGCACACTGTGTCCCACTTTGCAGATAAGGATGCTGAGGCATAGGCATCATGGTTAACTCGCCCAGAGTCGCATTCTGTAGGTTGATGGAAGTGAGAGCTGGGACTCACGCCTTTACCATTCTATGTTGCTTTCTGCAGTCACAGCTCCCCAGCTTGTGGGCAGGAACAAGGACTGCATGGCCTTGTGGGGTTCCTTCTGAAGCCATCTAACAGGCCCTGCACAGACTCTAGGCCACCCCTGAGTCCTTGCCTTTTGATTCTACCTCTTGTCCTCATTTCAGAACATCTCAACGGGAGATTAGGAATCACCTGGAAGCTTCTAGCTCTCTGGTCTCTGCCCATGTCTTGAGGGAACTGTTGTTTATCTGGAAGTTATCTCCCATCTTGGCCTGGCCCTGACCTTGACTTCTCCCTCCTGTAGACAGCAACTTCCTTCTGGCCAATGCACAGGGCCCCCGGGGTTTTCCCATCGTCTACTGCTCTGACGGCTTCTGTGAGCTCACTGGCTACGGCCGCACCGAGGTCATGCAGAAAACCTGTAGCTGCCGGTTTCTCTATGGCCCAGAGACCAGTGAGCCAGCCCTGCAACGGCTGCAAAAAGCCCTGGAGGGCCACCAGGAACACCGAGCTGAAATATGCTTCTACCGAAAGGACGGTGAGGAGCCCGAACTGGCTTGCTTGACATCTGCCCAAAGCCCAGGCCTCACCCAGAGTCTGCTGGGCACAGAGAAGCAGAAGGGCTTATCCTTCCATAGCCCCAAGCTGGTTGCAGGACTGAGATCATACCTGATTCTTTCTGGGCCTTGGTCTCTCCATTTGTAAAGGGAAGGAACCAGGTGACAAATCTCTGGGGTGTCTCCCAGCCCTAAACCTTTACCAAAGCCTTTGACCACATGAAGGAACCAAGGAGGACCAAAGGCATGCACAAGGGCTGCTCATACACCTCTTGCCCTCTCTCTGTTGCCCACAGGCTCAGCCTTTTGGTGTCTTCTGGACATGATGCCCATCAAGAATGAGATGGGCGAGGTTGTGCTTTTCCTATTCTCCTTCAAGGACATCACTCAGAGCGGAGGCCCAGGACTTGGCTCACCAGGAATCCATGGGGACAATAATCATGGTAACTACAAGTTGGGGTCACAGTAGACCGCACCACACATAGTCTCTTAGGATGCACCTCAACTCATATCTGTCTAATTTTTTTCCCCCAATAGAAAACTCTCTTGGGAGGAGGGGAACTAGCTCTAGACTTAGGTCCACCAGGAGGCAGAACCGGACCGTCCTACACCGATTGACTGGCCACTTTGGTCGCCGGGGCCAGGGAAGCATGAAGGCCAATAATGTGAGTTCTACTCCCAACAGACATTTCCAAGTCTTCCAGCCCTAATTCCCAGCTACCTTGTCCCTGTTTTTCCTGTCTGCTCAGTCTCCCTCTGTTGATTTGTTCCTCCATCCACCCATTTTCCATATACTACTTTCTGCTTCTTTTCATATGGCCCCCAAATCCCTCCTCCACCCCCATTTCCTTTTCTCCAGTAGGTGATTGACATTGCTCTGGTGATGTCACTGGGGATGGGGTTCTAGCGGTGATCCTCCCCCTGAGTGTGAGGGACAAACTCAGAAGCTGCAGTGATCCTAAGAAGAAAACCCACCCAATGTGCCACCCCAAGGATCCTGACAAAGCCAAATAATGAGGCTCCCATCCCCTTCTGCAGCCGTTAAGGCCACAGGGTCTGGATCAGCAGTGCTAACTTCCCCCCTCTGGGAAGTACTCACCCCTCACCTGGTCCCTAGAGCTCAGAAAGAACTACAGAAAAGTTATGACCCTCAGGCCCCTTTTGAAGAAATCCTGCTTTATCAGCAGTGTTTACATGGATCAACCTTTGCCCTACTTGAAGAGATTATGACAATTAGGTAAATGTCCTAGCCTGAGGGTGTTTTGTGGAGATTTAGCTGAGTGATAGGCTGCCTTCCTGGAAAGCACTAGGCTTCTAGGTTCAGTCCCTAGCACAAGAAAGGAAAGGAAGAAGTGAAAAGAAACAATTACAAAAAGGAGCCTGAGCTGGGTGGAGTGCCACGTGCCTGTAATCCCAGCACACGGTGAGGCAGAGGCAGATGGATCTCTGTGAGTTTGAGGCCAGCCTGGTCTACAAAGTGAATCCAGGACAGCCAAGTCTACCCAGAGAGACCCTGTCTCAAAAAACAAACAAACAAACAAGAACCTGAGCAATAGCTTGGTACAGAGACGAAAGTGCCAGGTGCCAACCTGAGAACTCCCCCTCCCATATCTTCTGTCCCCCTTCTGGCTACCCTTACAATGCCTACCTTCCCCTTTTCCCTATCCCTGACTCTCCCTTCCCCCAGCCTCAACTTCTCTTTCCCCCAAGTGTCCCCAACCGCCACCCCTCTCCCTTTAGAACGTGTTTGAGTCAAAGCCATCAGTGCCTGAGTACAAAGTGGCCTCCGTGGGGGGCTCCCGCTGCCTCCTCCTCCACTACAGCATCCCCAAGGCTGTCTGGGATGGCCTCATCCTCCTCGCCACATTCTACGTTGCGGTCACCGTCCCCTACAACGTCTGCTTCTTGGGTGATGACGACACCCCCATCACTTCCCGACACACCCTTGTCAGCGACATCGCTGTGGAGATGCTCTTCATCCTAGGTCAGACCCTCTGCTCTACTAACCTGGAGGGTGGGCTGTGGGGACCCGCTGTAGCAAGCCTCCTTCCATCCTGGGTCTACAGGCCCTTTCCTAGCTTGAATAGTCTCCTCCTTGTAGTTCTGAGTTCTAGGGGCCTAGTAAGGCGTAAGTGTGCCCTCAGAATGGGAGGAGCCTAACACATCCCCCTTCCCCAGACCCTGTAGGTCCCATAGTAACCAGTGTCCTGCAGCTTTCAGCCTTGTGGCCTCTCCTTATAGATCAAAGAGTCTTAGCTTTCTTCATTCTGCCCTTCTCCTTCATTCTGGGTCTCCAATGCTCACACCTAGCTTTCCCCATTCATTAGCGGTCTGACCTTAGGGTCCAGGCCATGGTCCCTGGTAACAGCCTTTACATTCCGCAGACATCATCCTGAACTTCCGCACCACCTATGTGTCCCAGTCAGGCCAGGTGATCTCTGCTCCTCGTTCCATTGGCCTCCACTACCTGGCCACCTGGTTCTTCGTGGACCTTATTGCTGCTTTGCCCTTTGACCTTCTGTATGTCTTCAACATCACTGTGGTGAGTGGCCCCCATCCCACCATGCATCCTGGCATCTGAACTCCAGCCTCTCCCATTAGAGGAGCAACCACAAAGCCAGCCATAGTCCTCCCGTCAATTCATGTCTCTCTGACCCTGCGATGGGCACAGCCCTGAGCTAGTGACTGGGAAGGAACCCAAAGGGTCTGTGCTCTTGGAGAACTCAGCTCACAATCTCTGAGGGAAGCTGAGAGAAACGAAGGCTAACTATGGCTACCAAGGCGGCATTGGTCGGGTGCCAGACGAGTGGCACTTTTCACATCTTTGTATTTCACAAACAACTGATGAGCATTTAGCTGTCTGCAAAACACTACATGGGGCCTGGTCACTATGGTGGGGAGAGACAAGGAATTGGCCCTCCTCAAAAGCCCCCTCAGATTGGTGAGACAGGCAGGAATACCGGAGGGAGAACATCAGACACAGAACTGCTGAATGGGAGTTGGCAGTCGCACTATGGCAGCGCTTCACGAGGTCTGGGCTGGCTGTGGAGAGCTGGGCAGGAACCCCAGCATATGCAAAACCCTTCTGAAATCAGCCCAGCACCTGGGGGCAGAAGCATCCAAGTTGAGCAGGGGCTGAGGTGGTCTGGGAATAAACTGTTCCTGGGGGAGGCGGGAGCAGAGCCGGGCCTCCAAGAATGAACAGGACTTGGCTAGCAAAGGATGAGAAGCTGGAGAAAGAGCAGAGCAAGTCAAGTCAGGAAGTCAGGGGCCAGGCACTGTACCTGCGCCTGCGTCTTCACTTGGGACTGTCTGGAGAGGCCCTGGATGGTCAGTACAAAGCCAGACAGTAGGTCTTTTCTAGTCCAAGGTGAGGCAGCCTTGCCCTGTGTCCCCAAGCCCCCTCGCCATCATGGGGGAGGAGAGGTGGAGAACAGTTTTCCTGTGTGCTCTCCCTGCTGCACTCAGCTATAGCAGGAAACCACCTACACGAAGCCGGATTTAACTAGCCGCCAACGGGCTGTAGGCCCCTTCTCCTGGGCTGTGCACATGTGTGTGCATGCTCCTACACACGTGCGTGCGTACGTACCTGTGCGTGTGTGTGTCTGTCTGTCTGCCCTGGGGGTCCTAGCCATTCAGAGAAGGCTGCCTGTCCTCAGGCCTGTTAGCCATGCCTCTTTGCCCAGCAGGTAGTGTCAGCCTGGCAGACAGCTGTCCTTACAGGAGAGGGTGTGCTGTGGAGAGCCTCCTCTCAGGCTCTCTCCTCTCCTCCAGTGCCTTTAGGAATATTTTACAGATCAGTACTGTACTTTCACACACGTCATATGGAACCCTTCAGGAAAGCTTCTTAAATCCTTTTCTCAAGTGTTGATATGGAAGCTCAATCCATACCACATCTCCACATTCCTGCTCTAGTATTCTTTTCCATATATAGTCTGCTTCCCAGATAACCAGGATCTCCAAATGTACGTACGGCTTAAGGGAGATGAGGAGCGACCCTGGAAGCCTGAGAGAGCTAGAACAGAAATAGAGGGGAAGATGCCCAAGCGTTAGATGGTGTCAAAAGGGTCATGCCAGTGGCATTCCGGCTAAGAAACAATGAGAGGAGGGTCTCTAAAGGTGTGGGACACAGCAGAAAGCGACTCTGGGGAGCCCTGAAGTTTGGGGATTCAAATTAGGGAGCCAGGTGTTCTGGGACTAGAGGTAGGTGTGTTTAGTGGTCCGTGTTGGAGAACCAGGGCCTCCTCCTTCCTAGCCCCTTCACTTCACATTAGACATGTGCACGGTGGTTCTGGAGCACTGTAATGAATGCCAGGGCTCTACGGTATGCTCTTCCACGGAGCTGCCTGAAAGGGTGGTGAGGGCCTTTACACGGAGCCCTAGAGCCTACAGCTCTAGCTGCCAAGCTGTTCTATGCACTAAGCCCCCAACCTACTCCCTGTCTGTCGTATGAGAAGGCCTTATTGAAGTGTTCAGAGCTATAACAAACACAGCAGATTCAGGGATAGGGTGTCACTGTTTTAAAACAAAACAAAACAAAAAAAAAAACTTGTCTAGAATGTATAAGGTTCTGGGTTTGGTCCCTGAGTTCCTTTCCCCATAGCAGTAAGATTAACAAATGTTTACAGGGCCCTTTGCTAGATGGCATGGCTCCACCAACCTCTAGCTCACAGCAGGTGTCCTCCGGCCCTGTTTCCTTCTCATCTGTAGCTGACCTACAAGGGGAAAAGCCCTTTGCCTTTGGTAGTCCTTAGGCCCCTTATTGGTCCCCATTCCATTCATTACCCTTCTCCATGCCAGTTGCCACCCCCACTTGATGGTTCCCAGGACAGTGGGACTCTGAATAGGAGTCTTCAATAGGTCAGTCTACCCCATCCTCATCAGCTCTGACCAGGCTTTCCTCCTGTATCATCCTGGAGTCCTGTGAGGCAGCTTATTCCCAAATGGACTTGGTGTCCATCATCTTAAACCTGAGTTACAGCTTCATTATTTCCTTGGCCTGTGACCTTGAAGCAAAGCCACCAGCTTCTGTGAGCCCTAGTTCATTTATCAGCAAATTTGGGACCTGGGATGATAACTGGACCAAAGGCTCAAAGGTGGTTTTGTCTGTTTTCATGAGGATTATGAGTGCCTGGCATAGTGGTGGTGGCACAGTGTGGTCCTCAGTGGCTAGGTTAATTATTCTCTCCCGATGCATTTTCTAGTCACTTTCTCAGGACAGCACCGACAGTTATTTTTGCATCTGCCTCCGGGCCCCGGGGTGCCTGGTGGGAAGGACCTGGGTGGGGGTGGAGCTCTGTGAGGGCTCTGGGGAGGTGTGCCTGCTGACAGCCTCCCCCATGTCCTCCCGCAGACCTCGTTGGTGCACCTGCTGAAAACAGTACGGCTCCTGCGGTTGCTGCGGCTGCTGCAGAAGCTGGAGCGGTACTCTCAGTGCAGCGCGGTGGTGCTCACGCTGCTCATGTCCGTCTTTGCACTCCTTGCCCACTGGATGGCCTGCGTCTGGTATGTCATCGGGCGCCGAGAGATGGAGGCCAATGACCCGCTGCTCTGGGACATTGGTGAGACACTAGCCCCAGACTGTCACTTGCTACCTGTCCTATCCCCAAACTAATGCTACCAGGACTCAACATCTCCTGATCCCATATTCCTCTAGCCATGAAATAAAATGCCCTGTGTCTCTTCTGGATCAAGTGCGGAGACGCTGGTTTGAAGACAATGGCCCTGCCTAGGGGAAAACTTCTAGCCTAGCAGGAAAGGAGATCAAGATCAGCAATAGGGGAAATGCATGGATGAAGAGAGAGTATTTTGAACAAAGGACTCAGTGTGTGTAAAAGCTCAGAAAAGCTTGGTCTCTGCCATCATCAAGCCTTCCTTAGACGCCATTAATGGAGCCCCTGGTCATGAGGCAGATCCAGACCCTAAATGTCTCCTTGAAAAGTAGGTCAGGTCCTAGGCACAGTCCTTGACACCTCCCTCTCTTTCTGCCCACACTGACCCAGCACTCGGATCTGGCATGGTCTCTGTCACCACTACCTTGTCCGGTCTACCCCACCTTCCTTTCTCCATGACCCCTACGATGGTCTCAAGGGTTAAGAGCACTTGTTGACCCTGAGGAGGACCTGAGTTCAGTTCCCAACACCCCAATGATAGATAGGTGGATCACAGGGGATCCAGTGTCCTCTTCTGACCTGTGCAAGCGACACAGACACACACAGTACAAATACATAACATGTTGGCAAACACTCATATACATCATAAATAAAATAAATAAATCTATAATAATAATTTTTTTAAAAGAATAGACACTGCTCCACTCCCAGCTTCTACGTGGGCCATTACGCTCCACACTGGCCGCAAACTTAAGTCCATTCTTGGTGGCCATGCATACAAGGCAGCCCTGTGTGATCTGTGTCTCCACCACTTTCCTTCTTCCTGCTCAGCCCCTGTACACTAGCTGTCCTCCTGGACCGAGCACCTGCTGCTTTCTCACTCTGGGCCGTATACATATTTTCTTCCCTGGGAGGCCCCAACTTCCTTTCCTTCCCCAAGGTGAATTTTCTATTCTCTCAGCCTCAACCAAAAAATATCTCATGTCCTAAGAGAACAATATCCCTAGGATCCATGCTGGCTCCCCCTAAACTGTGATTTCTAATACACTCTGTTTTAGTGCTTGACTTCCACCTGTAATGGCTTGTTTTCCCTTCCCTTTGACAGTGTTTACAGGTGATGGCCCGGACAGCCCTGACTGGGTCAGATCTCAGTATCCTCCCTGCCACACACACTGGAAACATACAGAAACATACCAGGGAGTCAATGGGGCTACCCTGTAGCCGAGGGTAGCCTTGGAGTGTAACTGTAGCCAGCTCATGGCCTCCAGGCCCAGTCACAGCTGCTCAGCACGTTTCCTTGTCCCAGTTGCTACGCATTCGCCTGTCTCCTCTGTAAATGTGTCTCCAAGGTCAAACAAGCAGATCAGGTCAAGAGCAACGCTTTCTCCAGCGCTTGGGTAGCCGGCCGTGATTTCTCGTATCCCTCCATAACTCAGGTTGGTTGCACGAGCTGGGCAAGCGGCTGGAGGAGCCTTACGTCAACGGCTCGGCAGGTGGACCTTCTCGACGCAGCGCCTACATCGCCGCGCTCTACTTCACGCTGAGCAGCCTCACCAGCGTAGGCTTCGGCAACGTGTGTGCCAACACCGACGCTGAGAAGATCTTCTCCATCTGCACCATGCTCATAGGCGGTGAGGCCAGACCCTCTATTCCCAGGGGGCCCGGGAATCCAGGCTTGTGCACAGGGAAACAAACTGAGACTCAGAGAAAGCAAGGTGCCCACCCACGTCCACACAGTCATGTGTTCATCCACAGACGTTTCTTTGCTGGCCACGACTGTGCCCCTTCTCCCCCCCCCAAAAAACAAAACAGGGGACCTCTTTCTAGGGGTAAAATACCCAAGGTCATGACCTAAGGAGGTGCTGAGAGGAGTATAGGTCTGCTTCACCTATGGATCGTCACCTCCTTCCCCTGCCTCTGATTGCTAGATATGCTCACGGGACGCTCCCAGCTCTCCTGGGCCTCCTCAGAACTTGAGACCCCTGCAAGGCAGGGTGATCGGGGTGGGGAGGGCACAGGGAGTAAATGGAGGGGCGAGGGCGCCTGATGTTCTGTGGGTTACCACCTCTGCAGCGCTGATGCACGCAGTCGTGTTCGGGAACGTCACGGCCATCATCCAGCGCATGTACTCCCGACGCTCGCTCTACCACAGCCGCATGAAGGATCTCAAGGACTTCATCCGGGTGCATCGCCTGCCCCGCCCCCTCAAGCAGCGCATGCTCGAGTACTTCCAGACGACGTGGGCGGTCAACAGCGGCATCGATGCCAACGAGGTAGGGCCGAGCAGGGCCTCCTGCCGCGTGGTCGCGCAGTGGGGAAGGGGTACTGCCTCTTCACGATTGGAACGGAGGCAACCAGGGTCTAGGGAGGCCCAGGGCTCTAAGCAAGGATGTGCACCCAGCCAAATCCAAATCCCTTTCTTTGATGCCTGAACATGGAGGTTGAAAGGAAGCAGAATGCTTCAGCCTGGACTTGGGTAGACATCTTGCCTTCTCTGGGCCTCGGTTTCTCCATCATGGTAGGTTTCAGTTTCTCCCAGTCCCGTGGTGGGCCAAGCCATCATTTCCCATTCGTTCTCTATGTCCTGAACACACTGGAGGCTGGGGGTAGCTAGAGATGGTTACATGCAGCCTGAGCTCTAAAGGAGACCCCGAGAGAGGCGAGAGAGGGAGACAGGTAGAGAGAAGCACGTAGTGAATGGAACCATACAGGAGTGACGTTGAGTCTGAGCCTAGAGGAGACACGGAGGTGGCAGAAGAAGGGGTACATTAGAGTCAAAAGAACCGGTCTGCTATGAGAAGACCATGCAAGGAAAAAACCAAATCAAAACAAAACAAAACCACACAAACAAAACAAACCAACAAAAAACTAGATTCATGGGTGCTGGTAAAGCAGAGTGAATGAGCTCAAGGATCTGAAAGTAGCTGAGTGAACCTTGGAGAAGGGGAGGTTGTATTGGAGGGGTACCAGTGCCAGAGCTGGAGCTTGGGCAGCTTCAGCCTCAGAGAGCAGATAGTCTTGAGTTTGCAGTTTTATTCTGCCAGCCTTCTAAGATGGGGTGTGGCAGACGGTGGAGGAGGAAGGGATGGGAGGAATTTGCTGGGAAAGGATCCACAAGAGCAGGCACTTTCTCTATCTTTTTTTTTTTTTAAAGACATATTTATTGGGGGCTGGAGAGATGGCTCAGAGGTTAAGAGCACTTGCTGCTCTTCCAAAGGTCCTGAGTTCAATTCCAATAACCACATGGTGGCTCACAGCAATCTATAAAGAGATCTGGTGCCCTCTTCTTGACTGCAGGCACAAATGCAGGCAGAATACTGTATAAATAATAAGTGAATAAATCTTTAAAAAAAAAAAACAAGACGTATTTATTATGTATACAGTGTTCTGTCTGCATGTACACCTGCATGCCAGAAGAGGGCACCAGATCTCATTGTAGATGGCTGTGAGCCACCACTGTGGTTGCTGAGAATTGAACTCAGGACCTCTGGAAGAGCAGTCAGTGCTCTTAACCTCTGAGTCATCTCTCTAGCCCTGAGTAAGTACTTTCTAGTCAGTTGCAAGAGAGCAGCTCACAGTGATGCCCAGGTCTGGCTTGGGGTCAAGGGATGAGATGAAGGGATGCTGAACTTAGGGATGAAGTTGAGAGTCCAGGGCTAAGCCGCCACAAGTATACAGTGTCTATGGCAGACTCAGGTGGACGCTGTCCATCAGGTAGTTGTAAATAGATATGTAAACCCAACATTAGGGCTTCCAGCCATGAGGAGCGTTGAAGACGGGCTGGTTGCCATATGGGGACAATGGAGAAGTGCGTTGAGGGGATGGGCTATACGAGGAGGCTCGGGAAGAGATGAGGAAGGAACACCAGAGATAAGGGAGGAAAATTGGAAGGGAGCCCCTTCCCAGGGCCCAGGCAGGACAACAAGAGGCCAGCAAGACAGAGTTGCTGAGGGGGGCTCCATGATATTATGAGGGAAATGTGGAGAGAACTGATAAATAATCCAGACCTAGCACAAGCCTGCATTTTTTTACAGATAGGGATACTGAGGCCCAGAGATGAGAAATAGAGGTCCAGAGTCCTCAGGAATGTAAGAACAAAGATGACTCTTACTTTCCCAATTCCCAGTTGAAGTCTGACCCACCAAGGACCACTCTTGACTACACAGAATTAAGCCATCAGAATCGATGAGTGCTCAGTGTGTGTAGCCATGTGAGGTACCCAGAGAGAAGGCTTGGTCTCTGCCCAGGAGTTAGATTCAGTGATCAACATGGCAAAGAAAATTGAGGCTAGAGAGAGAGAGAAAAAAAAAAAGTCTTCCTGAAGGTCCAGTGGGTGGGTAACTTTAAAGAGAGGACAAGTTGGCACCCTGGCCTTGGGGACAGCCCAACTCATTTGTAGATGTGAGTAGTGATTGCAGGGGGATGGCCAGAATGACCTCTGCCTCCTATGCAGTTACTGCGTGACTTCCCAGACGAGCTGCGGGCTGACATTGCTATGCACCTGAATCGGGAGATCCTGCAGCTGCCGTTGTTTGGAGCAGCTAGCAGGGGCTGCCTTCGGGCCCTCTCCCTGCACATCAAGGCCTCATTTTGTGCTCCTGGGGAGTACCTGTTGCGCCGGGGGGACGCCCTACAGGCGCACTACTATGTCTGCTCCGGCTCGCTTGAGGTGCTCCGAGACAACATGGTGCTGGCCATCCTCGGTGAGGTCCCCACCACCACACACTGCCCATCCTGAGACCTTTCCCAGAGGCCTTGGAAATAGCCTGGGGTTCAGGGAATGGGAGACCCCTAATGAGTCCCTAGAATGACTACTGAAGAATATTCTTCCTTGATTCCCTTCACCCTCTTAGTTCCCCTTTGGCCATCACCCCTACTCTCCCCTAACTCTTTGGCCACCCTTAATCCACTGGCCCTTCTTCAGTGACCATCACTCACCCTTTTCCATTGCATCATCTTCCAGTTCCATTGTCCCTTCCCCAATGACTCTAAACCTATTGACCTTCACCCTTTAACTGGCCCCTGGGACCACTCTTTATTGATCATCTGATTCTATTGGTCATTTCTCCAGCACTTTTAGCATCTCCCACTAGCTGTTGCCCAGCTTCGCTGGCCGTTCTTTATCGGCCTTTTCCAAGTTCCCTGATTCCCTCTTCCAATGAACTTCATTAATGCACCTTCAACCATCCTTAAATATACTGACCGTCTCCCACTGATATCCAGCGTTCCCTTCATCCCTCTTAACTGTCCCCTTCCTTTATCCATAGGGAAGGGGGACTTGATTGGGGCAGACATCCCTGAGTTGGGGCAGGAGCCTGGGTCAGGGGCAGGCCCCAGCTGCGTGCTGAAGACCAGCGCTGATGTGAAAGCACTGACTTACTGTGGCCTGCAGCAGCTGAGCAGCCGAGGGCTGGCCGAGGTCCTGAGGCTGTATCCGGAGTATGGTGCTGCCTTCCGGGCCGGCCTACCCCGGGACCTAACGGTCAACCTGCGCCAAGGCTCTGAAAACAATGTACGTAGGCACCGTGTGGGCTGCTGCCCCCACCGAGGTACCTTCCTTCAAAACAGATCTCCTCTTGAATCTCTCTCCTCCCTAAAAACATCACCTCTTAACTCCAACTACCCTCTTCTGTTGCTTCATATACACCTACCATCTTCCCAGCCCCTGACAATCTCTCACAACCTTCTACTCTTGCTGAGCACCTCTTAGCCTCATCTTAGCTTGATGAACATCCAACTCCTCCTTTTATGTCCCTCTCTGAACTGGTGTCATAACCCTCCCCCCTAACACACACACACACAGAGGTTCCTCTCCTCTGCTATTGTCCCAGTGTCTCCCACTCATGCACTCAACCCCTTAACGCTGTTAGGTAGGGTGAAGAGGGGGTGTACCAGGGGAGTGCAGAGGTAGGAGTCAGCTTGAACCCCCATTCTGTCTCCACAGGGCCTCGGCCGCTTCTCACGCTCTCCTGGCCTCTCCCAGGTAATCACCACATCTGGGCGGGGTGAGGTTGTTCTGTGGAGAGGTCGGGAGGGGGACAGCTTTCCTTGGCTACCCGGCCACAGGGAGAAGAAAGAGAGGATGGAAAGAAGATTGTGGTGCCAGGGATTCCATCCTGAAGGGTCCTGTTGTCCACTGTACAGTAACAACTGCTGCCCCCTTTTCCCGCAGTCACGATCTGACACTCTTGGTTCCTCTTCGGACAAGACTCTGCCATCCATCACAGAAGCTGAGGGTGGCATGGAGCCTGGGGCTGGTCCCAAGCCCCGTCGGCCCCTCCTGCTGCCCAACCTCAGTCCGGCACGACCTCGGGGGTCCCTGGTCAGCCTTTTGGGCGAGGAGCTGCCCCCATTCTCAGCCCTCGTCTCCTCTCCTTCCCTGTCCCCATCTCCTTCCCCTGCCCTGGCTGGCCGGGGTCAGGGTCCCTCCCTGCACGGCCCTCCCAGGGGCTCTGCTGCCTGGAAGCCCCCCCAGCTCCTCATTCCCCCACTGGGAACATTTGGACCTCCGGACCTCAGTCCCCGGTGAGATGCCAGCCTTCCTTGCCTTTCCCATATCCCTGCTGGCTTCCAGAACCTTCTTTGGGCTCCATTCCCAGCGTTCCAACCAGTGCTCCTTACTGTCCCTGCCCCATTTGCCAACCCCGCCTTTCCAACCACAGCTTGCAATCCCATTTCGCTTTGACCACTGTTCTTCCCTACTTTCCTGCCTCTGCTGTCCTCATTCACCTTCTGCCTGCTCTAGCCTGGCCCCACACCCTCCCTATGGTACTGATGAATGCTACTCTACCCCCAGGATCGTGGATGGCATTGAGGACTCCAGTAACCCGGCTGAGGCCCCTACATTCCGGTTCAGCAAGAGGCCAGAGCCCACCAGAATTCGCTCACAAGCTGCCCCTTCAAGTAAGGAGCCACTGTGACTTCATTTCACAGTCAGTCAGTCATCTGTCTGCCCAATTATCTATCCCTTCACCCATCCATCTATCCATCTGTCCCCATCCACCTTTCTATTCACATACCCATCTGTCCATTCATGTACCCATCCATTCACCTGGCCTATCATCCACTCATTCATCCACCCACCCATCCATCTCATCCATCCATCCATCCATCCATCCATCCATTTATCCATCCACCCCATGACACATGTATTACGGGACATCTGTGGGATATACAGGTAAACCAGATTCTGCTGAAGGAATGCATGCCATTCTAGGAACACACAGTCAAACCAAATCCTGCCAACATTTTAGCTGGGGGTAGGGAGGAGAGGAACACCTGTGCTCACAGATTGAACAATTCTAGAATTCTGTGCCGAGTTCTACAACTGAGTGAACAGGACTCGGTGGTGGGAATGGAGGGGACACTTTGACTACTTCTTAAATAGACTGTAAGGAGCCACTGGCTCAATGGTAAAGCTTGATGAACTGAGTTTGACCCCTAGAATCCATATGATGGGAGGAGAGAAGTGACTTCCTAGCACTCCCCATTTCTCTGACACCGGAACATTCTATTCCTTGCTTTCTGCTTGTCCAGCAAGAGAGAGGTGTGGGGACTTGGGTATTTTTGCTCTTCAAACTCATCTGTATCTCTTTACTCCCTTCTGCCTGTAGGCCCCAGGCCCAGCCGGGAACTGGCCACAGAGGCAGCAGAGGAAGTGAAGGAAAAGGTCTGCAGGTTGAACAAGGAGGTGGGTTTGGCTTGGTTCTTCCCCTCCAACCCCAGAGAATATTGTCCTGGGGTCGGAGGGGAGCAGGTCATGTTCTGGAGCCAGCTAGAGGCCTGTGTTCTGTTAGTCACACCAGCTAAATCACTCTGGAGAAATCCCACAGCCATGCTGAGCTTCTGTTTCCTCCCCTAAAAGTTAGAAAAATATGTGGTTATATGGGCAGTGGTAACGCAGCCTTTAATTCTGGCACTTGGGAGGCAGGGACAGGCAATGTCTGAGTTCAAGGCCAGCCTGCTCTACAGAGTTCCAGGACAGCTAGGTCTCCACAGAGAAACCCTGTCTTGAAAAATCAAATAGCCTATAATCTCAGCACTTGGGAGGCAGAGGCAATTGGATCTCTCTTGAGTTTGATGCCAGCTTGGTCTAGAAAGCCAGTCTAGGACAGCCAACCTTGTTTCAAAAAACCAAAGAGAAAAAGGGGAGGGGGTGCTGGAGAGATGAGTTAGCAGTTAAGAGCACTGGCTGCTCTTCCAAAGGTCCTGAATTCAATTCTCAGCAACTACATGGTGGCTCACAACCATCTATAGTGAGATCTGGTGCCCTCTTCTGGCATGCGGGTATACACGCAGGCCGAACACTGTGTACATAGTAAGTAAATAAATCAATCTTAAAAAAGAAGATAGACTAAGATCAGCAGGAAGGAGGACCTCCCCTATCAGTGGACTTGGGGAGGGGCATGCATGAAGAAGGGGGAGGGAGGGTAGGATCAGGAGGGGAGGAGGGAGGAGCTTATGGGGGGGGGGAGAAAAAAAAGAAGAAAAATTAAACAAATATGTTGGGGGTTGGTAGTGCATGCCTTTAATCCCAGCACTCAGGAAGCAGAGGCAGGCAGATCTCTGTGAGTTTGAGGCCAGCCTGGTCTACAAGGCAAGTTCAGAACAGCCAAGGCTACACAGAGAAACCCTGTCTTGAAAAACCAAAATAGATAAATAGATACATAAATTGAAAAAATAATTTGTCCTTCCCAGAAGTGTGAGGATGAGACAGAGTGCACACATTTCTGGCCCAGTCCCTGCTGCATTTCAGGTACTGACACCTCTTCCACCCAGAACTGGGTCTCCATTTACAGCCTGGGACCATCCAACCAAACACCAAGTCTAATGCTCAAGGCTCAAATCTTTTCTCTTTATCCAATCATGGAAAATGTGGAGTGTGTGTGTGTGTGTGTGTGTGTGTGTGTGTGTGTGTGTGTGTGTGTTGGGGGAGGGTTAGTGGATAGGGAAGCTGAGAGGCTTTTAGGCTTAGAGGACCTATTCCCACATGGCTGAACCCTGGCCAGGAAGAGCCCATATTCTATATGCCTAGGCTAGGCACAGCCTCTACTTGTTCCCCAAGGGATCTCGGTACTGCCACCACACAGCTACCAAGCCCAGCCCCTGGGAGTTACCTTCCTTCAGTTCTGATAAACACCAGGTAGCCCAGAGAGGTGGCACCTGGGCCAGAGCAGGGCCTAGAGCTATCTCTGGATCATGGTTAATGGCAAGTCTGCCTTCTGTTCCCTGCCTCAGGCTGCCCTCAGCTCTAGGCCAGTGATTCGATTCACATACCTGAGTTTGTGTCAGAACTACCTTTTAAAATACAGGTTCCTGGGCCTTAACCAGTTTGGAATGTCTGGGGTGGGGCCAAGAACTCTGCATTTTGACAAGTTTCTCTACCCTCACTGAGGTTTGGAAAACCCTCATGAAGACACCTGTGTGTGTGTGTGTGTGCATGCGTGCGATGAGCAAAGGATGAAGGGAGAGTTATACCTGTAACCCTAAAACTGCAGGGGTAGAGGCAAAGAAGATCAGGACCATCCTTGGCTACATGGCAAATTTGAGGTTAGCCTGAGCCATCTGAGACAGTCTCAAGGAGATGGCTTAACTGGTAAAGTACCTGCCACACAGGCTTAAGGACTTGAGTTCTGATCTCTCCAGAAAAGCCAGGCATGTCTGTAACACCAGTGTTGGGGAAGGGATGCAGGCAGGAACATGCTGGTCCGCCATTCTAGATGACTGGTCAGTTCCAGGTTCAATGACAAAAAACTGTATCTCAGTCTTTTTTTTTTTTTTTTTTCCTTCCCTCCCTGCCCCCATCTTGGAACTTGTTCTGTGGACTAGGCTGCCCTCAAACTCAGAGATCTGCCTGCCTCTGCCTCCAGAGTACTGGGATTAAAGGTGTGTGCCCCCACCATCCAGTGAGGCTCTGTCTCAAAACAAACAAACCGACCCCAAACTAAAACTAAACAAACCTGTAGAGAGTGATAAGAGGAAGCTATCCAGTGTTGACCTCTGGCCTCGAGGATCACCTGCATTCAAGTGCGTGTGTGAGCTCGTTCGTGCATGTTTGTGTGTCACACACAGATTAAATAAATACATAAAAAAGCAAGGCATTGGGGGCAGCAGTGTCTGCGGCTAAAAATCCTTTTTGGAAATAAACTGGGGTACTTACCCCTGGGGTATTATAGTCCCTGCTCTTTCTTCTCACGTGGCTGTGAGCAGACAGTGGTTGAAGAATTTTGTAAACTAGTATGGGGGATGAGGGGTGAGCCTGGCTATTGTTCTGGCATCCGTGAGACACTTTGCTACGTTTTCAACAGATCTCCCGTCTCAATCAGGAAGTGTCTCAGCTGAGCCGGGAGCTGCGGCAAGTGATGGGCCTCCTGCAGGCAAGGCTGGGCCCCCCAAGCCACCTGGCTAACTCAGCTTGGCTCCCAGACCTTCCTTGCCCCCACCAGAGGCCACCGTATACCTCTCCTCATGCATCTGGACCACCACCGGGTCTCCAGGATACCACACTCGCTGTGGTCCACTGTCCAGCCACTGTGGGGACAGTGGAGACAGGGGCCACTCCCTCAGAGCTGAGATGCGCCGTGATGCCGCCCTATCCCTCAGAACCTGATCCTCTCGGACCCTCCCCAGTGCCCGAGGGTTCGCCCCTGACCCCAAGCCTCATGAGGCATAGCTTCCAATCTGGGTCAGACACACTCCACTGACCCTGGTCTTCGGGCCCAGGCCTGTCTGGGGTGGGCGTTACCACCTACCATCCAGGGAGGAGCTGGGCTCCATGGTCTCTTGCCACCAGCTGGTCTGGTTGGCTCTAGATTCTCTGGACTTTTTAACAAGGAGTGGCCACATCTAACCCCGTTCCATTTCCTAAATCCTCCCTTACCCCCCTCTTCTGTGAAGGGGGCCACCTGAGGCCGTGGAATCCAGCAGGCATGAAATGGAGGACCGTGATGCCCTGTTGGGCTGGGCAGAGGAGTGTCCTACTTTCTCGCCAAGACTTGGAGGCAGGTATAGACTGAGAAGAATAAGTGTGGTCAAGAGCAAGGGTCTAACCTAGTAAATGAAAGCTGAGTCTAGAGCAAGAGGGCTGGATGTTATTATAGTACTATGGAGCTCTTCTGTCCCAGATTTTGGGTCCTCTGGAGAGGACCCTGAGATCAGCATTACCCTGAGAGGAGTGAATTTGAGAATTCTAGCTGCCTTTTGAGAAACCCAGGACCTCTTAGGCCTCCTACTAGCAGCCAAACTGGAGGAGCTCACTTCACGCCATGGGACTGAGGGCTCCAGATGTGTCTTTGGCTCTCAGCACATTCTTCTTTTTAAAAATATTAGTTACCAATATAGAAGTCCAGATAGGGCCACAAAATACTCAGTATTCCTAACTTCTCAAGAAAAACAAAGATGACTGGCTACCAAGAGGCAACATTCATCTGGCAAAAATCAGTAATCACCTGCTCTTGCTTGGGTAGCTGAGAAATAGTGCCCGTTTCTTCATAGTCTCCTGTTTTTGTTTGTTTGTTTTTTTAAATTTTCCTTATGCCCCATTAGCTTCCCTTATTTGTTGGTCTCTGTGTTGTTTCAGCTTGCAATCCCTGCCTTAGAATGGGCTCCAAGGGTGTCCTAATAATGTCTGTTCCTACTCTTGCACTTGGGCCTACCAACATCTCTGTTTCTGTCTCTCTACAGGCTGTCATGCAAAGTGGTCCCTCTGCTGGCAGCGGCTGAACGCATTCTAGCATTACCCTTCTGCTGCTCACACCTCTAAACCTCAGCCAAATCTGCCTCCCTCTCTCCCTCTCTCTACATGGTCTCAACTGAGGAGTCTGGGCAACTCACAAGCCCACTCTGGTTTCCAGCCCTCCTTTCCCACTCAATGCCCCAGGCTCATTTTTGGATAATAAATCCTTATATTTTTGTAGACCTTGACACTGGCTGTTTCTGGGGGTTAGTTTGAGAGCCCCAGGGCTTTGAATAAGCCAACACACGCAGACACACCCTAGTGTACCCTAGAGCCCTGTTGCTGTCTCTAGGAAGGGCAGAGGCGCCAGCCAATCCACTTGGCACCATATTCACGCCACCTGGGACTCCTGGGATAAGGGAGAAACCTTAATGAGTCACTAAGGGCCTGTTACACTCCTTCCTCCCCAACACCCAGTTACAACCACAAACACACAGTATGTGGAAGAGACATCCGACCAGGCTGATCTCTACCCTCAGGAAGAAATCCCAGGGGTTTCCCTGCCCTCCTGAATAAGGAACTCTGCTTTTCAGGATAGGTATTTGGTGTTGAGCTAGGTATGGGCAGGTAGGTGGAGAGAAAAGCTCGTCACCAGTTAAGAACCTGCCAAGAATGCATTCTCCCAAGCCTTGTCCTCTCTCAGCTTACATCATTTCTCTGAAGATCTGTGCATGTTGCGTGGTAGATGAGTTGTAGGAAACTGGCACCTTGGTGAAAAGTTGAAACTAGATGTGGGCATAGCACTGTGGCAGCTTGTCACAGACCACCAGTCCGTTCTTCAGCTCAAGCTTGCAGAATATGACTGACGGGCGTTGTCCCATGCCACTGATGTAGGTACCATGGCCACATGGGTCTCTGGGGTGGGCTTTGATTTCATAAAGGTTTTGAATAGTGTCCCTGGGAGAGAGATACAGAAAGAGGCCAGCACTGGAGGTTGGGGTTGAGCGGAAGCAGAAGTGGTCCTAATTCACATAGAAGGACTGAGAAGAAACAGAAAGAGGACTGACCCGTGTTGGGAGGTGGGGTGGTTTTCATTTAGAGAACCCAGGCAGTCTTTGAAGGAGCTAATTCTGACTGGGGATGGAGGTGGCCTGGTGTTTGGGAGCCAAGCCTAAAACAGAAAGCTTAGTCTGCCGTGGTGGTTGCACACGCCTATAATCCCAGCATTCCAGAAGGACAGACAGGAGAAGCTCGTGTGTTCAAATACAACCCAGTCTACAAAGCAAGTTCCAGGCCAATGGGACTACATAGTGAGAGCCTATGAGGGAAGAAGGAAGAAAAGGAGGGTGGGAGGGAGAGGGAAGGGGAAGGGAGGATGGAAGGGAGGGAGGGAGAGAGGGCAAGCCTATGGTGGGCTGCAGAGTTGTTTTTGTTTTTTCCATTCCTCCCAGTGTCCTCCAGGGAACTCCTCCTTTTTAAAAATTACATTTCTTCACTTATTTGGGGGGAGGGGGACGGTGGGCGGGCTCTACATGCCATGGCACACATGTGGGTGACAAGGGACAACTTGTTGGAGTATGTTCACTTCTTACTCCTTGTGAGTCCTGGGGCTGGAACTCAGTCAGGCTTGGCAGCAGGCACCTTTACCTGTCGAACCATTTCGCCAGCCCCCAGAGGGCCCTTTCTACAGAGCTTCCATTGCTTTTTTTTTTTTGAGCTAGAGTCTTACTATATAACCGCCCTAGCTGTTACTCACAGAGATCTGCCAGCCTCTGCCTCCCGAGTGAGCCGCCACGCCCGGCTCCAGTGCTTTTCCTATAACAGAATGTCCTCAACAATCAGCCTCCTGGACCGGCCTTGGCCGCAAAATGTGGACAGGGGGCTTCGCTAAGTTGCCGAGTGCAGTCGACTGGTCTAGGCGACCTCAAGAGCATCATATTTTTTCCCTCTTGAAAGGCTCGGCTACATGCCTTTCCTCCCGGCACCTGGAACCGGCGGGGACGCGATAAGCTCGCCGGGACCGGCTCCGCCCCGCCAGTAGCTGGTTCCACCCTAAACCAAGTGCCAGGCAGCCCCCGGCGCCTCCCCGATTGAGAACTACAAGTCCCACCACCCCTCGCGCTCATTTTCCCTCCTTTCCCGCGTTGATTGTAGGTAGGATCGGAGTGCCTCCCATTGGTCTGTCCTTTCTGTCAGTCACCTGGGAGTCTAGAGAGGCGGGGCAGAGCTGAAGATCCGGATCCGGAGCGGCTGAAAGGCGGAAGTGGAGGCCGGAGCCTGGGACACCGCCGGGGGGGGAGAGGAGCCCAGTCTGTGGGAGCCCCGGCCCAAGTAACGCTGCTGCCCCGGAGCTGCGGTGAGTGTGCCTATCCCAGGGCCAGTGTCTCGTATGCGTGGAAGCTTCCCTGGGGTACTCTTTCCTCCTGCTCAACCTTAGCTTAGGGGGATACTGACCCCTCCCCCGACCCGTAGCCCCCTCTCAGGGGCTCCCCAGGGCGTCGGGCCAAAGGGGGAGCTCCTCTTTCCTTCGCTTACCTGTCCTTTGGGAGCCTTTGGGAGTCCTTTAAGGCTCTCCTCTGGCCTGTCCAGTCCAGTTATGGGAGAGAAGGACCCCAAGTTCCTCTCCCCACCCCCTCAGCTTTCAGAATCAAAGAGTCTTTGCCAGGTGTGAAGGAACCTGTCTCTCTCCTCTTTTAGGGGTGGCGGGGAGTGCTGTCTCTCCTGATTTTCCTTTCCTGTGTCCAACCTCCCCCCCAAAATCCCCACCCGCAAACAAGAATAACAACACCAAAAAAAATAAAATAAAATAAAAATAGTTGTTCCCTGCAGCCCTGAAAGAATTTTTGTCTCGGTTTCCATTAGGCTGTGCGGGAATAGGGGGTGTCTGGATGAAAATGTTCTACACGCTGTGTTTGCGCTCTCACAGTTCCTTACTTCCTCTCGAGCCTATCAGGACCTCAGCAGAGTTTGAATTCTGGGTCACTTAGAAGGAATCCGCGGTCCTCTCCTTGTGTTATTCATTATGCCCCCAGCCCTTAAGTTCTCTCAGTGTGTGTCCATCTTCCTGCCTCTAAAGAATTTAGCTGAGCTTTGCTCAATCCTAGCGACAGATCACAGATCAGGGAGGATCTGCCCATTCATTATCTTCTTTCTCCCCTCCTCCTTCCCCCTGCTTCAGGCTCAGCCCTGTCCTTCCAGAGCATGTGAGCGGTTTCCTTAGAGGGAGTAGAAGAGACTGTGAGGATTGTGGAACTGAGGGATCGTCTCTTTTCCACCCCCAGTCACACAACACTCTACACCTGAGCAACAGGTCCACTGCTCTGCAGTCTCCTCTTAGACATACTACAGAGCAGTTAGTCCCGAGCCCAGTGGCAGCTCTAATTCTTGTAGGTAAAGGCATTGCTTATATGTGCCAGAAGGTGCCGGTCCCCCAACCATATTGACACAGGATCCTTGTGTTTTCCTTGGGACTTAAGTGTGTGAAATGGCTGCTGTCCCTGACCAAGCTGGAAGGTTCTTTTGTTATGTGACCAAAGTACAGGTCAGAGACTACCTTCCTGAGGAGTAGCCTGATTTCTGAGGCCACAACTGACCCTTGCTGCCTGCAGTGGAACAAGAGAGGAAAAGCCATTTAGTCCTTGGGTATTCCTGACCAACTTAAGACACTGCTTATTACACAAAAGCTAAAAATGTTGCTTTGAGATCTTTCCAACATACTTCTGTACAGTTGCCAGTGTCCAGTCAGTACAGTATTTTAAGCTAACTGTGGTGTATTTACTTCGCTTCTTATTGAACAACTCAAACCCCTTCCTTATTTAGGATCAACAGCTAGATGAGTCAGTCTCTCTCTCTGTCTGTCTCGGCTCATTGGAGAGTGCCTCAGCCAGCCTCCTTTCTCTGAGCTGTTCAGCATTAGCCTCTGCTGGGGAGACCCAGTGAAGTCAGTCTGCTCACAGGGATTGGTTTCTGCTAGACTTACCTTCCAAGGAGTGGCTTGTGCTTCCTGGGGTCCTGGCTGAGGCAGGTGAATCTTCTGATGGGCATATCTGCCATTTGTCTGAACATTGTCTCCTGGCTCTGAAACACGCTTTTGTGGAGAAACTCTCAGTGGAGCAGGAGGCACTAGAGTCCTGCACAGTTCCACAGCCGCTTTTGGCTTTCAGAAATTGTAAAGGCCCAGCAGAGAGAAGCCTGTGCCTGCGCTGCTGGGAGAGGGAGGGCGCTGATGAGAGGAAGTCCCTCCTCTCTAAGGCTGCGCTTCAACCTCCCCTCTTGCTTCTCACACCTAGTTGGCCTTTCCGAATGTTCACTCTAGGAGGAGTATTAAGAGCACGTGTTTATAAAACACAAGGCCCCAGTGTTCTTCCCATACCTATTTCTCACAAGTGTCCTGGAGACAGTGGCATTTGGAGATGATTCTTACCTAATCACAGTTAGAAGTGGTCAGACCTGGCGTTTGGAGCTTGGGTTCAAATGTAATCCAAAAGCAGGGCCCCCTCCTGGTCTGCTGTGCTTGCTAAATGAATGAACATGCAAGGAGAGTGAACAGGGCCATGAGTTCAGACTTTTAGCCTTCCTCCTCTCCAGCACTTCTTTTTTGCTTCCCTCTTTCCCAACATTCTGTCCTCCTTTACCCTCTTCTTTGCTGTGGAAGTCATGACAGTCCCGAGCCTGTACTTTTAGGGGCCTGAGAGTCTGCTAACGTCTGTGTGCCATTAATTTCTCCAGAAGACAGGATGGCTAGAAAATGAAAGTAAAAGTGACAAACGGGAGGGTCCCACAGGGCAGGCTTGAAGGGTTGTACTTTCTGATTCCCCTTTGATACTATCTGCTGATTTTGAGACAGAGTCTCACTGTTGCGTCCTAGCTGGCCTGGAACTGCCTTTGTGGACCAAGCTGGCCTTGAACTCATGGAGGCCCACTTGTCTCTGCCTCCCAAGCACTAAGATTAAAGATGTCCACTGCTGTGCCCAGCTTCAAACTCACAAATTCAAACTGAGCACCACCAACAAGCATTCCTTAAAAAGAACTTGCATGTACTCATTTATTTTCTGTCCGTTTATGTGGACACACACATGCCACAGCACACATATAGAAGAGAGAGGACAATTTGTGGGAGTTAACTTCTCTACTTCTACCAGGTGGGTCCTAGGCTCGAACTCAGGTCTTCAGACTTGGTGGCAAGCACCTTTACTTGCTGAGTCATCTCACCAGCCCAGAAAGAACCTTTTTAATGGGCTGAGGCTATA